GAGGGGGGAGGGGGGAGGGGGGGCAAAAGTAATGAAAGCAGAAGTAAAAGTAGAAGGACAAAAAGGTACTGAAGTGAGATAAATGAATGAAATATAAGGTAGTATAAGATAAGGGGGAGAAGTTTCAAAATCACACTTGGCATGATTGTGCTACAACTAATCTATACCAAAGATAAGGTCAAAAACTTGACTCAACACCACCCGCAATGACTGCAACCCAAGCTCAAGATCGCCCACACGCACAACTAAATCTACCTCATCTCGTGCACATGCATGTGTATGGCTGTTTCCATAAAGAATAAAAATTGGCTCCGCCACACGATGCAAATATAAACGGCAATGTGTAGCAACAAATCAAGCAATAGAAGATAAGCTTAAACCTGTATCAGCCAACACGGAAAGAATAATAGGAGACCTTTTATTATAAAAACGAGCTTGGAAAATAAACAATGGATGAACTAGTGCTAGTGAACCTCTTGATGATACTCCCGAAAGAAAGATGGAGGAATCACTGACTTATTCGTATAAAGTCTCTCTATTACTCATGCAACTCCTCATTTCCCAAATGCATCTCGGTGTCCAGACCTTCCACTATAGCAGCACTAATAGGATGTTGTTGACACCAAAGTTTCCACCCAAGAAATGGAGGTTGCCAATCCAGAAAAAACTGACAATGCCGATAAGTGTGACCAATTTCATCACATGCCTAACAGCGAACATCATGGCCACGACCACGTCCTCACCCTTGTCCTTGGACTCGAGCAGCAGCAACATCAACCTCTATTGGAATAGGACCATCACCCACATAGAATGGAGTGGAAGGACGTGCAATGAAAAGTGGAAGAGGTGATGTCTCATAATGCTATACCAGATAAAGAGCATCGTCAAGGGTGGTTAGAGCAAGTGCATGCACAAATCCAACAAAATCTTGACAAAGTGCTGGCCACAACATTCCTAACTTAATCCACTCTGACATATTTGGCTCCACACGAAGCAAGAAGCTTCGGAAATGAATGCCAAATTGTATCACCGACTCAGATGGCCCTTGACAAAGACGATGCAATTGCTGGAAGGCATCATCATAATTGTCGGCATGTTTGAATGCGCGTTTAAAGACGTCTGGGAGAACACTCCAATCCCTACTAGTGGCTGCACTCAAACCATTGTACCACTGTAGTGTCGTCCTTTGGAGACACATGGGAAACTCACGCAAATGTCGAGCATCATCCCAAAAATGATATGTGGCAATCACTGTGAAGTGATCAAACCAATGATACACATTATCCCTAGGATTCCCACGAAAGAACTCTGGCTGAACATGAAGATTGGCACTAAGAGCAAGAGGAACTGTACCATATCCGTGAATGCTGCCATCACCTAAGTTTGGTTGTTCAATTGCAATTACATGGCATCAAGCAATTACACTAATTACTACTGGAAGAGATTGCTGCTCTGCCATGAAAATGAATGAAAAAGAAAGAGCAAAATAAAGGAAATGAGAAAGAACTAGAAAGAAGGGGAAATCTAGACAATGGAAAAGCTAGATCTAAACCAAAATCCTAAAAAAGAAGAACAAAAGAAAAGGAATAAAAAAAATTAGATCTAGATGATGCAAAAGTTAGATTTAAACCAAAATCCCAAATTTAAACATACCTTAGAGACAAGAAAAGGTGCCCCTCACTTCCACCAATGTGAGTGTTTGGAATATGGAAAGAGAATACAGAAAATGTACATATCAATTAGCCCAAAAACCTTAGTTTATATATACGAGCGAGTGGTCTAAATTAAAACCACCAAAATCCCACTATGTATATGGCATTGTAGTTGTACACTTGGCCCTCAAAGTACAAGAATAAATACTTTAATAAAATAAGTTTAATTTTTAATAGTCATATAAATTTAGTTCATTTTGAAATATAGTAATCTTAAGTTCTAATATATAAATATAAAATGATATAACCTAGTCAATGATAATAAAGACAATCATATAATTGGTAGTGTTTGTCATTACATATATTTTGAAACTTTTTTACATTTGTAAAATGAGAATTTATGGTTGTGAATGTGGTTTTTGGATTGCATATAATTTTTAAAATATTAAACTGAATTTTGTGTATGGTTTTATTTCCCTGTTTTAAGTTTTGTTATTGTTTTCTTATGTATATTTGTATATGACTTTCATATGATTATTTCACAAATTGTTTTATGACTCAAGTCCTGTAAAAGCTTGTATATCTATTAATAATAATACTGGCAGTTCCTGTTGAGTGATGAACCCAAAGTTGGTGGGACAAATTGACGGGAGTCACAACCGTTTACTAATGAATTTTCTGTTGGAATTTTTTCTGGGATATATACATCAGCGTGACAGCAATATGTAAAATATTGCACATTGCAGGAGGAGTTAATCCGGGACTGGCAACGAGCTTTATTCTTTTGGACTGCTAGAAAAAGGATTTGGAGTGCTAGAGCTCGGATGATCAGCCTTGCCGTAAAGCACATCGTTCCGCTTTCTGAGTGCTCGTGTTTGCTGATCTTGTGTACATGTGCACAGACCGCCCATGGACCGCGCAGAGCGCTTATAGCATATGTGAGGCCGCGGCAATGCGTCGCCATAGAATCGCCCTGGCTCGTAGCCACCATCGCTTCTCTCTCTATCTAGATCTAGCCCAAGGGAGGAATTTAAGCGCCCCTTTGCGGGCTTTTAAAAAATCTTCACGGCTCTTAAGAAAACTATGGAAATCTCTTCGTCGGGAGGAAAAAAAAGTTATACAGCGATGACCTCACAATAGCGATGGAAACTTTGGTACTCTCTTGATTTGGACTAGTTGCGATGGGTTCCTTTGTTCACTCTCTTTGCCGGTGTCGAGCGCTCGGATTGAGTAGCGAGAATGGCGACTTGCATCAAAGCCGTGACGCTCACCAGGACGCCACTGAACCACGCGATTCCAGACGCTGATTTTAGCAGGCGTGCCAGCAAACTCACCACAGCGATGGTGAGTAGCGACGCCCACATGATCACGATCTGGAAGGGGATGAAGATGTCAAGCAAAAAACTGGAAACTTGAAAAGGTTTGCGTTACCATCAGAGGTTTATAGGATCGCGTCAGAGGGACATACAGCTCCTCGCCAAATGTGTTCTCTGCTTTGTGCTTGTCCAGCAGATCATCCTGCAAACCATCGGGCTTAGTCACCTTTCCGCGATCACAACGACATACCTTTCTGACAAATACTTCTCGACACCACTCGGTGAGCTCCTCTTCTTCAGTGGGCAGCTCGTTCATTGGTACTCTTCTCACATGCATATGGACCTGAGAAACAGAAGTGAAACACTGAAAAGAAAAAAAGAAAAAGAAAACGGCAGGTCGAGGAAACATACCACGGAAGACTGACGATTTAGTATTCTCGTCATGGTAGGAGCAGGCTTGTATTTCGAGAGAGCGAAGGTCACGTCGTAGACTGCAGGAATGAAAGAGCGCAAATTATCCACGGCGCAAACAAATCCCTGCAAGAATTCTCATTATTGATAAACCGGAATGCAAAGGATAGCAAACGTACTTTGGTTCGAGGAACAAGCACATTCCGTGGGACAGGCAGTCCAGCAGAGGCTGCATATTCTTGGGCGGCCTTAAGTTTCGCCTCAGTAAACCGCGTCCCTTCGACGAAGAGAGCCACCCATAAAACCCGTGGAAAGTTCTTCCACCGCTGGAAGCCGATCTGTAACAAGCAGTTCTAATTTCCACAGCACAAAATTTGAGCCTGGTACCTTTAGCGTGTTTTCGTCCTTCTCCCATTTCCTCTCCAGAAATATGTACTCGGTGAACCACATTCCCCAACCAATGACCTGGATGGAAGCAAAACAATAGAAAAAAACAAAGCTAAGAATTGATTGGTGATGTCACAAACCGGTAGAAACTTGGAGGATTTTTTCATTATTGCCCGCGTACCATCCAGGCATCCGACACGCTACCAGAAGTGGAAAGCCCTGATCAGAAGAATAAAACCACCGAAGAATCATACCCAAGTTCCACAAAAGTGGCCGTACAGATGCGAAAATCCAGCCAACAAGCCAGTCAATGTCGCTGCGATGGTTCGAGATGATCAGCGCATGCTCCTTCCCTGGTAACGAGAACCCACATCGAGCTCTAAATACAACTTTTCATCGCAGCTTGATAAAAGCTCTTACCAAAATGCTTGCGAGTTTCCTCGTCAGCGTAAATGCGCACCTGTAAGAACGCTTAGAGCAGCAAAAAGACAAAGAGGGAGAAGCGAATTTAATGCACCTCCACACCCGCCCACCACTCCACCATCCAGACCAGCTGCGACGATGCGAGCTCAAACAGCGACATATTCACCGCCCGGAACAATCCTCTCGAGAATGGGAGCAAAACGAGCGAGCAAACCTACAACGAAATCCCCGAGATTGAGAGAGATCGAGAGAGACAAAAATTCACAAATTCTTGCGGCTCGATTCTTACCTGGAGCAAGTTGACAACAAATCCAGAGCAGAAGAACATCAATCCCAGCGGCAGCACGCTGAGCGCCGATAGCAGCGCCATTGCTCCCCAGGGAATGCGCTCAGCAACTCATCCCTCCAAAACCCTCAAAATACCCTAACCCTAAAGAGCGAGGCGTGAGTGGTGGATAAAAATATATCCAACGCCTCTCGGATTGCCCGTCCATTCAATGCCCAAGAAATCTCGTTCGTTGGCTTCGCGATTGGAGCCTCTTTCGCGGGCTTTCGAATCTTTGCTAAAAATATTCCTCGGCCAGCGAGAAAAAACAATGGCAAGCGCTCAATCATAGTCGATGGATTCTTTAAAACGTTATAGCGAGAATAATCAATTCCAAAACCTTGAGATTTCGCCACGCTATACATCTTTCTCGATCCTCGCGATCAAACGCGGATCAAGCTTCGTCTTTTTTTTCTTTTTGCGTGGGCCTGCGATACATTTTCTCGCGGACACGACACACTGCAAAACGCAATAAAAATCCAAAAAGAAAACAAAACTCGAACCTTTCAGCTGGCATCGACAAACTTTTTCTTTAATCTTTCGATCCGGAAGCTCTAAAGTCAAAGAATTTTCCATCTTCTTTCTGAAAATCATGAATAGTTAGAATGAGAGAAGCAAACGAGAGAAAATGAACCTGTAGTTGGCTGCACTGTTCGTGTGCTGGGCTCGCTGGGCTCGCTGTGCTCAGCTCATCTCTCACCCAACTCGGTCCCACGGATGCTTGCTGGCATGACAAACCCAAGAAGAAAATGCGACCAAACAAACTAAACCAAGGATGCCACTTGCAGACTTGCATTATTGACACTGCACGAGTGTACAGCCCAGCGATAAACTCGTACAAACACTTGCAACGCGAGAGGAGAAAACGAGAACATTATTTTGATAGCTAGAGCAAAACAAAGCAGCAGTGAGATCCAAAAGAATGCCGGCAAGAAAAACACGAGGAGAGAAAACGCGGAAGAAGAAAAACTATACACAAAACACTCTAAGCTGTAGAAGCAATAAAGGCTCCAAAAATGGATTCAGCGCAGAGGCGAAATAGAGAAAGAAAAAACAAAGCTAGCAAATCTCCACGAACAGCAGTGGCATGTGGTGGCAAATTAGAAAAAGCAGAGCTGTGCAGAATCGTTGTGAGCTACTGACCTCCTTTTCTTCTTTTCTCTTCTCTTCACACCGCTGCTGGAGGCGGCTTTATGATGTATCTGTAGAGCGCGGTCTTCTTCTTCCTGGACAAAGTGTTATCGACTGAAAGCACGAGATTACCAGGCTCTGGCGACTTGAAAGTGTTGCGGATAGGCTCCTCGAGCGATGTTATCTTTTTCGGTTTCACAACTATCGTGGTGTACCCTCCCTCCTTGCTGGGGACAAACTCGGCACCGTATGTCACGTCCGAGCCTACTAGTGCAAATTCCCAAACCACTGTATCTCCAGCCTGAGGGGAAAATAAAAAGAAGAAAGAGTAGCAAAAAGAAGATTAGTACCTATAACATCCTCGTGATTTTGATCAGCACGCAAGAGCACAGACAAGTTCTTACCCCTGACACTTCAATACTGGCAGTCTTCTTCTCGCCAGCTTTTAGTACCAGCTCTGTCACCGAAGCACTGGCATCTCCTCCAAATTCAGTATCATTAGCTCTGCTCAGACCGCCGTATTGCACAGGAATGTTGTCGGGAGAGATAAATCTGATCAAGGGACAAGAAAAAAGCCAAAAGATTTCGGCGCGTGGGTGAGTAGAGTAAAGAACAGCAAAGAAAACAAACACTATTACTTGAACAAAGAGCTCCCCCCGAACGTGAACTTGCTCTTGGTACGTTGCGTGAAGAAGGGACTGATAAATGCATAGATGGTACTGAAATACCAGGGAGTATTCAAAAGAACCTGGGCCACAGCAAAACAATTAGAAACCAAAAAGTCGAATCGATCGAACACTTACGATTTTCACGACAAGCTCCGGATAGTTGTCCGTTAGAAGTTTAAGAGCCTGGCTCATAAAAAGCCGGACACCTTTCTTCCCCAGTAAAGGAGCGTTCTTCATGTCGACCACCTGTAGCATTGAGGTGACACCCCCTGGATTGAAATTCAAGCTCTGGATTTGCTTCTCCAATAGCTGCACCCTCCACCGCAATGCCTTCTCTGTCTTGGCAGCGTCGCCAAAAACTTTCTGATAGAAATCCTTATCCTGGAACGCTCCAAAGTCATTGTACTGCACGGGATGCCCCTCCTTGTCCACGCCGTGGTTGAAAGCCGACGCCTCAAACTCGGTCCCCAAGTCCTCCTCCAGAATCTTGTCAGCTCCATACCTCTTCCTCCACAGCACACAGTTCTTGAGCATTGCAAACGCGTCCTTCACCTTAAAGTCCCTGGCCCGGAGAAACTTGAGGAAAATCACCTGAGTTCTCGGATCACCCTTGCTTGGCAGCAACGGAACTCCCCACAATTCCAAGTCCTCCGGAGGAGCAGTGTCCTCTTCCACCTGCGTCGTCTCCGTCACTAGCGGAGGAGCCACTATCACGCCATCTTTGGGAGCCTCATCAATTGGAGCTGCCGGAGGAGCTTCTTCAATCTTGGGCTCTTCCGCTTTTGCTTCTGGAGCTCCTCCTTCCACCTCCTCTTTCACTACTGGAGTTTCTTCCGCCTTGGGAGCTTCTTCCACCTTGGGAGTTTCTTCCAGCTTTGGAGTTTCTTCCACCTTTGGAATTGCTTCTGGAGCTTTTACCTCTTCGCTGGTGGGCTCTGGAGCAGCAGCAGCCTCGGACGATGCCGCTGGAGTGGTCGTGGCTTCTTCCTCCTTGGGAGCTTCCGACAGTGGCAGTTCTGGTGCTGCCTCCTCGGGGGCGATCACAGCCACTGCAGCCTCCTGAATCTTCACCTCCAAATCGCCCTCCTTGACATCCTTCTCGATCGTGGTGGCCACAATCACAGCCTCATCCACCTTAGCAATCTCCGTTGTCTCCTTGACGACCTCCACCTTGGGCGGCAACACAAACTCCTTGGCCTTGATCGCCGCCTCTACCTTGTCCGACAATTCATGCAGCGCCTTCTTCTCCGACTCCTTTAGATCTTTCTCGAAGTAGCTCTCCTCCTTGAAAGACGGAAGACTATCATCCACTGGCCCCGGCACCGCCGCTTCTTCTGGCGCTTCCCCCTCTTTCGCTGCCTCCGCTGCAGCTTCGCCATTCCCGGATTCCGACGCTGGCGCTGGCGCTGCTGGAGCTGGAGCTGGAGATGGAGCTGGAGATTCCTCGATCTTGGCCGCCTCTTCTTTCCCTGGCTCCTCGATCTTTTGCTGCGCCTCGTCGGGGAGAGGAGGAGGAGGCGTGGCAGTAGCATCTGCTGCCGCCGGCGTCGCCATTTCCGATGGAGTTATCGCAAATGCCGGGAAGAAAACTTAGCTTGCTCCCCGAAACCCTAGAACCCCCAAAAACACCCAAGGTATATTTTATTAGGGTTTATTGGGCAATAGAATATTCCCGCACAGCTCAGCCAGCTAGCTCCATTCCTTGCTCGGTGCTCTAAGTGTCACAGTCGTGCATCTCTTGTGTGATTGTTTCCAATCACTCACGTAGCTCGCGCATCGCATTACTCACGTAATCCATCAAAGAACGGTTGGTGGTGTGGTCAACGATCTCTCGCCATAAAAAAAAACCAACCTTCTCTTTGAGCAAATCTCCTGTCACTCACAACCATTATATCGAAAACAAAAAGAAACCATTTTTTTTCGTGAGTACGTGAAACTTACCACCAGCAGTGACATGAAATTATAGAGCGCCCCATCCAGACACCTCCCTGACACGAAACATTGATGATCAAACTCGAGGGGCAAAACGAGTGAATCTATCATCGTTTTTTATTTCTCGTTTTTTTCTTTTCGCTGAATGCCGGCTGAGAGAGACCCCTGCGAGACGAGGAAACGCATAAGAACACCTCTTTCTCGCTTAATGAGAGAGCTCTCACCTAAGCGAAACCAGATATCCATCGCTTTCCCTGCCTCCAAAAGTAAAAACCACACACGCACTTGCCATGAGTTTTTGAGTCGGTGTGAATCACGATTCACGCCAGTTTTAGTTTCTGCCAAGACACAAAAACACAAAATCACGGGTTTATAAAGTTAAAAACAAGATAAGCGACACCGATTCAAACAAAAGCGACAGGCATACCTTCGTTTTCATGAGGCCTTGGAGTTTGCTTTTAAATGATCTCGCATCGCGTTCGCACCGGCTGTGACGCCACATACATAAAAGCATCTGAGCTACCAAGTGAGACTGCATATGCATTCAAAGCGTTCACGAACCTGGGGTGTATATATATAAACTTTGTTTTTTCAATTCGTCGATTCCGTAAGTGGTTTCTTCAAGTCGCCTGGATGAACAGATCCCGCGGAATAATCGAGTGTCCTGCAAGACAAGGTACCAAGCGAATGAGCGACGCATTAACCACCTCTGTCAAGTTAAAAAAGAGAGAACTTCACAACGAAACGTCCTTCTCTTACGTGCTACTTTTGTGCTTCCAGGGACACATGTCTATGAAATACTCCAATTTCCTGTACGGCAGCTATATACTTTTCGTTCTCTCCGATGGTTTTAATGGTTTCGTAGTCACAAAGAGCGACCCAGAGCTTAAGCCTGCAACGAATAAATGCTCAGAGAAATGCGGTAGTGGAAGCAAGCTTACCAGCTGTAGAAGTGGAAGTTCTATAGTAGATAGAAATAAAGCAATCGTTGAGTCATGCTTGAACAGACCTTGCAAAGCCGCGATCTCAAACACTGAAACAAGCAGTCCAAAACCAGCGGAAAGTTGAAAGCATCGTTCCTCTCATTAATCGCCCATGATTGCCATGATATATCCTTAACCAGCTCTTCTTGCTTTGAAAGTCAGACAACCATTGGGGCCGGTCGGAAGATCTGAGGCAAGAAACGGTAAAAGTTCTTACCAGAGAACTTGGTTCCTTTTTTTCTTTTCTTTCTGATATCAAAGAGGAGCCAAGCATCCATCGCTTTTGCTGCCTCCAAAAACAAACATAAGATGCTGTAAATTACGTCAGTTTTAGCTTCTGCAGGCAGACATAGAGATATGTTAAACCAACGGCGAGTCAAACAAAACCGACAGGCATACCTTCATTTTCAAGAGGAGCTCCTTCGCCTTGGAGTTTGCCTTCAAATGATCTCGAATCGGCTGTGACGCATAAAAGCATCTGAGCTACCAAGTGACAGCATATGCATTCAAAAATGTCACGAACCTGCAGTATTTTATTCACTGATTCCGTAAGTGCATTCTTCAAGTCGCCTGGATGAACAGATCCCGCGGAATAATCGCTACTCAAGTCCTCCACAGACGTGAATGTCCTGCGAGACAAGTTACCAAGCGAGTGAGCGACGCATCAACCACCTTTGTGTCAGGAAAAAAAATAAAAGAGAACACTTTTTGCGTACTTAGTTCCCTCATCCGAGCGAGGCTTGATTGTTAGCTCTCGGCACCACGGGAAGACGATGAGCTTCGCCAGATCCATGCAGGGATTTTTCTCTAAAACCTTTTCGGCACAGAAGGCTCCGTTGATTTTCTTCTTCACGTCCTTCTGAAATAAGCAGAAACGTGGAGTTTATTATCTAGACTTTATGCCTCTGAATACCGACTGACCTCCTCATCGTCCATAAACAAGCATGAATCTGGGCTGCTCCTTGACATCTCCTTTTGTGCTTCAAGACTCTGCAAACGCTCCAGGCTTGGCAACATAGCTAAATTCTTTGTAAGTGGCAGAAAACGGAAAAACAATAAAAACAAGATACTTACAATTGGAGAGAAACACTGGCCTGCGTTCTTTATCAAAATCATTGCAATAGTTCCCAATCATGTTGATTACATTGTGTTTATCAGCTCCCAGCAAGCAAATGTGAGCCTAAAGAAATAAGGAGTTCCAAACTCGAACGAGTATACACAATCGAGTTAAAAGCTACCTTGGTTAAAAACATGCTTGCGCACTGCATGCATGGGTACAGTAGCTCCGAAGAAGGAATCGTTTCCTCCTCCCAGTTTTCAGATAGTCCCAAGCAACTAGCAAACAAAAACAATACAATACTTCAGAACGCTGAAAATGACTATAGAAATCCAGACCTTAGAACTCGAGGAAGATCACAGCGCCGAGCAACATCCAAGACGAGAGGCCAGTACTCGGCAGTCCTGGGGCCATTGATCACGTCCGAGGCCCAGATAAACTCCACCTGATCGACTTTCATGCCGGCAGCTCTCCACACCTCGATCATATACTCTCCCGCGGCTCTAAGTTTGGTCTTCTCGTTCTTCACACAGTAGCGCTGCTCCGCGACCCAATCGCCAATCCAAATCTTCACGGAGCAGCCGGCATCCACGAGCTGATTGACAATCAGCGTCTTCAAAAGCCCCTGGGGAGAGATTCCACAGCTAAACTCGTGATCGAGTGGCAAACAAATGGAAATTTCTACCTGCGCAATCGGCATTCGCTGCCGCGGCTCGAACGAATCGAAGCAGATCGGGCTGGCCTCGCGACCGACGATCGCGCGCAGCCCGTCCTCGTCATCGCAAGAATGCGCGACACTCCGGATCAAGCGGAAGCGCTCCTCCTCCATCCCCAAAAACCCTAGCAGGCAAAGGTAAAAAGTTTTCTACACATTTTCTACTCGTGTTTGTCTATCGGCGGACATCAAAAGCTGGAGCGCTGTGTCGGAGGCGACGTGGTGAACTTGGCTACTGCCTCTCAAAGAAATTACCACCTCCGGTAAAATTGCTCTGTCACTTCGGTGAACTTCGAGCAGTGGAGTGTTCTCCGTCGCTGGGGGATCATTCACTCTCGAGTGAGCATCGCGCTTGCAAATCGGGCAAAACGATCGTCTCGTCGTGAGCCAGTGATCCACACAAGTTGCGTGGAACTCTGCAAGAGAAAGAAGACGAGCAAAACTTAAGAAGCATGAAAGAAAACCATCCGATCTTACCGTGTTGGCAAGGAAGAACTCGCAGCTTCTCGTCCGCGATATAATCTTCCAAGCAAATCGCACACGTCTCACTGGAGACGCTGTTTTCCCGGTAGATCAGAGTCGGCAGGAGCTTCAAATCTCGGAGGTTCATTCCGAGAGATTCACGTAGGAAGAGAACTCGCGAGCCGATTGTCCTAAGCCTGTATCTCCGGATCAAAAAGAGGAGCAGCGAAGTAACCATGCCGCTCAAAAGTAGCACCAGCGTCGCAGCCAGCAGCGATCGCGCGGAGCTTTCCATGCTGGGAAGAATGTAGCACGTCGTGCCATTGAGATTGTAGTAACTTAGTAGCGTTTCTCCAGCGGCTTTGGAGACGAAAACAGCGGGAATGCGAATTCCCTGCGGATCTCCCGACACTGGAAAAATAAAAGGAAATGGAGAAGGAATGAAATAAAAGAGAGCAATCCCATGAGCAAGCTTACTTGTGACCAGCGAAGGAAAATCTTCAGTGTTGTAAACGATGACCGCGGCATACCCGGCATTTTGCGCGTGAAGCACCTTGTCTTCGAACAAGCACTTCCCTCGAGCAGCAAGAGCGATTGGAAGAAACGAAGTGTTGTTTGAGAATGGAGGACTGCTCATCGGATCGCAGCCATCGTGAACAAATTGCAAAACTCCGGAAAGACCACCTTCCGGAACTCCGGGACCTGAGATCAAAGTCCGTCGTATTTAAGCAATGAATGAAAAAAAACCTCGAAGCAAAAAACGTGGACACAAAAACATAATTTCCTTGCACACAAAAAAGAAAACCTCGATAGGCAAACGCACGAATGGAATTAATCTCTGCGAAAAAAAAATGCACGAGAAAAACCTCACAAAGAACTAAAATTTTAACGATCCGCTCAATCACCAGCAAGCACACCATGAAAAACCAAAAACGTGGATTCCTCGCAGACAAAAACCATTAAGTTCCTTGCAAACACAAAAACATAATCTCGAAAGGAATTCATCCAACAGGGACGAGCTCAATGAGTCTGGAGAAAAACAAATGCACGAGAAAAATCTCCGCTCCAACTAAGAACCAAAGGCGAGCTCAATCACCGACTTAACGCAAACAATGATAGCAAACACACCAACAAAAAGACCAAAAGCGTGGAATCCTCGCAGACAAAAACCATTAAGTTCCTTGCAAACACAAAAAACATCTCGACACAGAGAAAGAGAAAAGCACGAAAGGAATTCATCCAACAATGACGAGCTCAAACAATCTGGGGAAATCAAAAAGAAAGGCACGAGAAAAACCTCCGCTCGAACACAAAGAACCAAGAAATTTAATGATTCTCACAGGCGAGCTCAACCACCGACTTACAAGCCTCTTGACTCATTCCAAGGAGGTAGACAAAAAAACTAGACTTCTCCAAACCGCCAAGCAGAGCAAGAACCCTAATGTCGATCGCTTACCGAAAGCCGCCTCCACGTCCGGGAATGGCAGCGTCTCCTTCCCGGCGGTGATGAGCACGACGAGCGCATTGACCCTTCCCAGCATCAATGTCAACGCGAGCAGCAAGAGCGCGGCTATGGCGATCGAGAACTCCCGCATTGTCACGGACAAGGCGGGGGCGGAGTAGGAGGACGCCTCGGGCATCGCCTTCCCTCGGCGAAGACGATACTTTCAAAATTTTGCAAAAGAGAAATGCCCTTGTATCTTGACCGTTGAATCCGGATAACAATACTAAGATCAAATAAAATCTTTCCCCTGGGTTTGCCGAGATTCGAACATGGGCACTCTGCGCTAGGTCAGAGGAATTTTCGGGATCTTAAGGTTGATTCTTTTTCCAAGGTACATTCTTTGATACTTTGAAATCTTTTTGCCCCTTTAACTCTTACAATGCGCGGCGCCGCGCATTGCTTCACGTGGTCTTAATATTCTCTAGACAAAAACACAACTCGTGAAACACTGATCACCTGGCCACCGCCACCTTTTCTGTGTCTATTGTCCTGTCCGGCCCAACAAATGTCACTCACAAATTTCAAAGGTACTAAATCCAATGTTATAACATTTGGAAGATTACGACAACATATATATCTAGAAACATCTCACCTAGTCTTATTTTCTCACCAACAAGCATTTCTTCGAATCCATACGTGCATGGCTTTTTCTAACCTCAGTATGGAGGTGACGGAACTGGGGATTTGTATACCGGCGCTGGCGAGGAGTAAACCGGCGACGGCGATGGACTCTTGTAAACCGGGGATGGGGAGGAGTAGACCGGGGATGGAGATTTGTAAACCGGGGATGGGGAAGAGTAGACCGGCGATGGAGATTTGTAGACCGGGGATGGGGAGGAGTAGACCGGCGATGGAGATTTGTAAACCGGGGATGGTGAGGAGTAAACCGGAGATGGAGATTTGTAAACCGGGGATGGTGAGGAATAGACTGGCGATGGAGACGGGCTTTTATACACTGGCGATGGCGATGAATACACTGGCGACGGTGATGAATACACTGGCGATGGCGAGGGTGATTTATAGACCGGGGATGGAGCCGGGATCACAACTGGAGCTGGGGACGAGTAAACTGGGCTGGGTGACGGACTCTTGTAGACTGGTGACGGGGATGAGTAGACTGGCGAAGGGCTCTTGTACACTGGTGACGGGGAGGAATACACCGGCGACGGGCTCTTGTAGACTGGTGACGGGGAGGAATACACCGGCGATGGGCTCTTGTAGACTGGTGACGGGGAGGAATACACCGGCGATGGGCTCTTGTACACTGGTGACGGGGACGAGTACACAGGCGACGGGCTCTTGTAGACTGGTGACGGGGACGAGTATACCGGAGACGGGCTCTTGTAAACTGGTGAAGGAGACGAGTACACCGGTGACGGGCTCTTGTAAACTGGTGAAGGAGACGAGTACACCGGTGACGGGCTCTTGTAGACCGGGGATGGCGAGGAATATACTGGCGATGGAGATGGGCTCTTGTAGACTGGAGATGGCGATGAATATACCGGCGATGGGCTCTTGTAGACTGGAGATGGAGATTTGTAAACGGGAGATGGTGAAGAATACACCGGCGATGGGCTCTTGTAGACTGGTGACGGGCTCTTGTACACCGGCGATGGCGAGGAATACACCGGCGAGGGAGACGGGCTCTTGTACACCGGGGATGGCGAGGAATATACCGGCGAGGGAGACGGACTCTTGTAGACTGGGGATGGCGAAGTTACCGGCGCGTCGTAGTAAGTTGCGGGGCGGACTTCGGACAGCCGGCGAGACGTGGGCGAGAATTTGGTGCAGAAATCCAGCGGCTGCTCGGGCCTGAAGCTGAAGGGCCCCGTGTACTTGATCCGCGATTGGGTAGTGCCGAGACTATTCCCGCCCAGCTGAATGAGCTCCTCCTCGGTGTGCGCGGCGATGGCGCAGGCCTCGAGCGGACTGCTAATGACCCTCACGGAGCAAAGCGCGGCGGAGCCGGGCACCGCAACGCTGAAGAATCCCGCGGCGTTCGTGGTGGCCTCAATGGCGGAGGAGCGATCTTTGCAGTCGACGGCAACTCTGGCACCTACATTGCACAGAAGAGCAGAGATTTAGAGCCCGGGAGATCATACGTGATGAAATATACTACCTTGGAGGAAAGAGCCGAACTTCGTGAAGCGGCCCTCGATGCATTGGTCGCAAAAGACTCTCCCTGCGATGGTGGTCGAGAGCTCATCGGCCGCGAAGGTCGTGAGTAGCATCGAGGCCAAGAGCACCGCCATCGCTGCTATTGCCTTGGAGCCCATGATCGAAAACTTAAACTTGCAGAGATCTTCCTCAAGAACAACAAGTCTAAGAAACAGATGAAGGAGCGGAGAGATCCCAAACACACACAGAGAAAGAAGGGAATGAAAGCTTGCTGTGGGCTTTCGTTCACTCCTCCTCCTGCCACAATGTAGCACAGGTTTTCGAAGAACAAGCAAACCTGTGAGCTCATTAAATACACGTCCAAGACACAGCACAGGCCTTTACCAGAGGGTAAAAAAAATTCTTTCTCATTTAACCTTCTTTACTTCGTCCCCCCGGCGGGTAACTTCGCGGTTGCTTGCCAGACGCGTTTCTCACCTCTCCAACCAAAAAAACTCGAAACTCTCGGGATTGGATCGAATTCAAGGAGCAGGGAATCGGCGTCGAATCTTGGGCGAATCTACGACTAAAACACACATCGCTACGCGTCGGAAAGTTAAATGCGCAGTGCTGCCTGGCACATAGCTGGTCTGGTCTGCCTGGACTCACATATAACGGGAATAAAAACACAGGGCTCGCCCTTTTTGATCAAAACTCCACGGTTTTGATTTCATACAAGCTTTGACATTCCGATGCACACAATTTGATAAGTTCTTTAAGCTCTTTTGCCCTTTTGACCCTTGCCACGGCTGGCGGTGCCAGTGACAACATGGTAACTTCGCGGTAGTAGCATAATCCACCGTGATTTGGTAAACTTCTTGGAGGTGTTTCAAAGCTTTGGAGGTCGTGAGTGATCACGATCGTGAAAGGAACGCCCGTCGATCGATCGAGAGAGAGATGATCGTGATATTCGATCGACTGTGCGGATCTCCAGTGGAGTAAATGCGGGTGGTAAGAATTGCCGCCAGCTCACTCGCACACACACACACATCTCGCTCATGACCGTCTCGTAGCGTCGGGTAGTTTTTTTCTTTTTTTTTTCTACCTCTTTTTTTGGGTGAGATCACTGAAACACCCGTGAGAAGCTCTGCAGACTGCAACAGGGAAGTGTGTGTTTCGTTGTCGTAAATCTTTACCTAGGTATGATTATATCTGACGCAAATCAAGGTTTGGGAAGTTCATCATATTTGTACGCCGACACTGCATTCAAGGCTCTGCAAAACTCTAAATTCCACCACCTTTGCAAAGTTTGCATGCATCGGCGGTGGCAGCAAAGTCATCATATTCTGCAATTCCACCTTTTGCATGAAAGTTTTCTGGAAGGTGGTAGAATCCTCGGTCTAGGGCAGAGCGTCTTCCTCTTCCCCCCACTTGAGGGTGGCGGATTCCATCCCTTTGGCTTTGTCTTTGACAAACCAGTCGCAGATAATTCCCGCGTTGAGGCTCTCCATCGATCGCCCTTCTTGTTTGGCTATCACCTTGAGCAAATTCAACGAAGAAACCTTGCAAAACATGATAGGCCCAGTCATGGAAGGTAGAGAGGATGAAAGATCGCGAGATTTTCCCTCGCCAAGAACGCGCGCAGGGAGGAGAAAGGGAGAATTTACCGTGAGGCGAGCGAGGAAGCGCTCGTGAATGCCCAGCCCCGACATTTCGATCAATCCGGCCTCTTCCGCGGACAGGAAAGTCTCGGGATTGTTAGCTGCCGCCGGCGCCTTGCTCAATCTGGTAGAGCGAATGCCGCGGGGATTCGAGAGCTTGAAGCGATTGCTGGAGATTGGCAGCGATTGGAGCGAGCGGGAAATCGCGGACTCCATGTGGCGAAGAACCCTAAAAATGCCACCATAGCTGCTGGGATTTTGGATAACGCGATGGCGCGGGCGGGAGTGGCAGTGCCGGATTTCGCCGCAGCTCCAACTCCATTTCCTCCTCGATTTCCTCCTCCTGGTGAGATCGTCCCGTCGTAGCTTCCTGCATTGCGATTTCCACTGATGGATGATTGGATTTCAGGAATCCCTTCGGTTGTTCGTGTCGGGGCGATCCAGCAGCGATCCAGCAAGCGCTATTGCGGCGTCTGCAAGGCGAGCGAGAAGGATCAACAAGGTTCGGTTGCTCCCTCCTCCTAGTGTTCTTCGTGTGAGATTTTTTGGTGTTGGAACAATTCTAGATAAAAAAATCGAGGAGTCGAGAAAATTCCAGCTCCAGGCAACCGAGGTTCTAGCGGAGATTCTCAAGTCGGCCGAGAAAGAGAAGCGAGCGGAAGAACTCGTGGACAACTTAAACGAGGAGTTCTTCTACATTGCATCAACATATCTATCGATGGTATGATCAAAGTTTTTCCTTTCACTCGCCATGGCTTCATAGTTTTCTCCATTCTTTCTCGCAGGCAAAGAAAGAAGCCAATGTAGAAGTGGTAAATCAAGTCGAGAATGCCTTGAAAGCAGCCATGGCAGCCAAGGACAAGACACTACGCCCGGAGATCCGGCTCTTCAACAAAGTTAAGCAAAGTTTCTCGATTTCTTAAACTTTCTCTCGACCGAGCGAGCATTGTTCCGAGGATTAAACCTCTCCTTTCTTCGCTGTCACAGCTTCTAAGGGACAACAGCTCGGCCGAGCGGCAGCAAACTATCTCCGAGAACCACGCATACCTCCACGAAGGCAGCTATTTCTTCGAGCTGCTCGATCGAATGACCAAGGACGTCGAGTCCCAGAAGAGCTCTCCCGATCGAACCAAGCTCGTCAGCCAGCTCCAGATCATCCGCAAGCAAACCAGAGACGTGGCCAAGATGCTCAAGCGAGCTTCACCATCCAAGAACTAAAGGACGAAGAACAAAGCTACGAGAGAGAAACTCATCGGGGCCGTTGGATGGATCCTCGCTCTGGAATGCCACTAACTGACCCGGAAGCTTTCTCTTTAATTTTTGCAAGCTTTGAGAGCGCCAACTTTTCGAAAACTTGTTGTAGCGGCAAAGGGTGGTGGAAAGAATGCGACTTAAAGCTGAGCTCTCGCTCTCCTTTGATATATCAAATTCCTATGGTGTTTCTAGAAGGTCGGGTTTTGATTGATTTCTATAATGTCCTGGCGCGTGCAAACTATTCTGATCGATCGATCGATTAGAGAGGATAGCACAAAAACAATGGTTGCACAGAACCATCAATACCAAATCAATCAATCATACACTGGATGGGATTTTTTTCCCTTGATATACTCCCACGCTTGACGACGATCTACTTGCGAAGAAGAAGAGGACAAACAAAACCACAGCTCCAAGCTTGAGTAGCGCCAAAAGCTTGTAGGATCTTTTCCTCGTAGCCTTTTGGAAGATGCAAACAAATAAAATCAACCAAGAGATCACTCTTGATCTCTTAGATTTTGGATAGATCTCTCTGATGATCGAGGCGAGCAAGAGTATGTGTCCTCGCGATCCCGCGCGCGCGCGTGAGATGGAATGCACCCCTCTTCTTCCTCCCCGGCATTTTGTCTGCATGAGAATTGGAGAAAGCTCTGCTAAAGGCTCGTCTCTCCCTCGCGCGCGCGCGCTACCTGTTGTGGAGTGGGTTTGGACCCGTGGGTGCCAGCCGCTTGGACGCACCAAAGACCGACGAGGCGGGATCGATCGGTGGCGGGATGCGCAGCGCATTGGACAGCGGAGCCCCGCTCGACTTGCGCGCGCCGGAATTGGGCGAGGGAGAATTCGCGGGCAAACGAGGAATGCGAGCGGCGGAAGCGGCGAGAATCAGCGCGAGCGCGAGGAAGAGGAGAATAGCTGCATTGGGAGGGCGAGGAACCATCTTCCACTCTCTTAATTTCGGCCAATTTGGTGGATCGAGGGGGAGAGAAGAGACAAAGAGAAAGTGAGAGAGTGAGAGGGGGGAGGGGAGGCGATCGCTCTCCAAAACATAACAAAGCCAAAAGCTTCTTTCTTTCTGGAATTCTTCTTTCCTCCACAAGCAAAGCACAAGGACACTGGAAAAACAAATGCTTAGGCTACCTTCGTTAGAAGAAGAAAAGCCTTCGTTTTAACGGAGGAGGAGAAGTGTGATTGATTGAAACATGACTGTCAGTGGTGTCTTCGTGAGTGCTGATTCGAGTCATTGAGTATGGTGATTGATTAGGCAAAACATTGGAGCCAGCATATTCGCGGGCGCATCTTTCCTGTGTTATCGCGCCGACGCGTGATGAGCAATGCGACCGACCGCTTCCATAGCTGCATGCTTTCGCTTTAAACTAAACCAAGCCCAGCTTTAAAAAAAAAACTTCTTGACCCTGTCACTCCAGTTTGCTTAAGTCAAATCGCTTTGATTGGATCTCTGGCACGCTTTGCAATGCAACAATAACATCAAAAACTTCTCGCTGGGAGTGGGAGTTTCTTCGCTTAAAAACTATAGAGTTTGATCCAAGCCTGAAAAGCCCCCACACACACACACAGGGAGAGAGAGATAAAATATATGGAACAAAGCTCGCTAGTGGTGAGTGGGGTCTGCGCTTGTCCGTGGCCTTTTTGGGCGACCGGGGAATCGCTGGCGAGCTTGGAAGATTCGCTGGTTTTGACTTAACAAGCATTTTCTTTCCATGAGTTTATCGAAAGGCATCACCTCTAATGGCGGCAAGCGAATTATCCCTGTCAAGTTAGAGGGGACGAGCATCTCAGAGATGGTTACCTCTCAAAGCCAGATCTTTCTTCTTCCTTTTTTTAACGACTTTGTCAATATGCTTTGTCCATCCAGACTCTAGCCATTAACTTGCGTGAGGTCCTCGTCTGTGTGTCTACAGTGTGTCTCTCTCTCTGTGTTTGAGTGTGTGAATCAATCAGCGATGCGGCAGCTTATAAGTACATCTGGTGTAACAACAGCTCGGCTTTTCGGAAAAGTGGAGGTCTACAAGTCCCCTCCCTGTCTGCTGTCTCTGATAAGGACGGAAGATCAAGTCAAGCTACAGCTCAAACAAAAACAAAGGAAAGGAAAAGCAGAAAAGCAACACACGTACCTTCCAGTAATGCGTAAACGGTGTTGCGGGAGATTTTCGCTGTTTGGTGTTACCCAAGAGCTCTCTCCCAGCGAAAGGATGATCACGTTGTTGGCCGAGTCATCGTCGACATGCCTCGTCCTTGGAAATGCGAGCCAGGCAACGCAACTGGTAGTTCTTCCACTGCAACCAGTCTTAGTAGAGAGCACGAGAAGCAAGGAAATACAAACAGAAAAGTGAGGGCATTATCACTGTACCGGTGTCTTCTTCCAGCGTCAAAGCACTGTCGCCTCCTCCACCATCCGTATCGGTACCGGCGACACCAATGCACGTGTACACGCTTTTCTCGTCGAGCCCCAAGAACTTGTACGCATTGTAGACGTCATCGATTGTGGCCAGCTCGTAGAGGTAAGCGAGGTCTCTGATGCAGCTGACGTTCTGAAAGAAATAATACGAGAAAGATGAGATGTCATCTAAATAAAATATCATTTGCTGCTTTTCTTACCTTTCTACCAACACTCGGAGCTTGCAAATGCGTGATCAGCCCCAGCCAGTACTTGTTATCCTTGCAATCCGATTCGTGTCTCATCATCAAAATCCTCTTCGCCTGGAATTAGCTTGTGAGCCTGTGCACGACCCAAGGAAAAATTGCCTTACTCTGTCTAATTCACGTTGAGTGATTTGATTCGAGTGGAGTCCCTTCAAAACGTTTATCGAGGCTTCAACAGCACGTTGGATCTGGACAGCAGTTCAACAGGAATGATCAGGTGTGTACATAACGAGCACGGAAATCAAAACCTTGGTCGGTGTCGAAGTCACGGAAATCACAAACCAGCCACCTTTCAAACGGTCGAACAGACGGAACTCAAACGATACGTCGTAAGTCAGTCCAAGAGCGTCTCTGACATTGGTAAACAACCTGCAACACAAGAGCTGCTGTGAGTGACTGCGGCTGGAAAGAAGGACGATACCTGGCATTTATGATTTCGGCCAACAACGTCATAGCAACAGATCCATAAAGCGGGTGTCGAGGCCTTTTCCAAAACGATCCAGTCTCCCCGGGCTTTTGTATCACTTCAACACCCGGGGGAGCCAAAGCACGGGCTTGTTGTTCTGGATCCAAAGAGCTCTTTGACAATGGTTCAGAAAAGAACGGAATTACCTGTTAAGTTCTTCGGGACGGGTTCCACAAGAACGTTGAGATCGAGACCATCTACTGTATAGCCCCATCGATTTGGTGCTGGCCCAGCGACGTAAGCGCATGCCCTTTCATCAGTGTCCTTCAAAAAGAGCTGATAAGAAACAAAGCACGGCTTAGGCACGTCATTCTACAGAAAGTACAGGAAATATAGCACAGACCTTTTGATTGCAGACTTCAGGTTTAGGAGACGGATTGATAACAACTGGCTTCTCTTTGGCTTCGATTTCTTTCCTCGCAGGCACGTCCTTTTCTGGCGCAACTGTCCCCAGATAATCCAATATACATGTTTCGATGTCATGCTCTGAGAAATCCCCAACGATGCATAGCTGTTTCACAAAACAATTTAAGTCTTTGCGGGAAAGATACAGGCCACTTACCTCCATATTGCCCGTCACCAGTTGCTTCATCACGGCTTCTCTTACAACTGGCAGTGTCAACTTCTCGATGGCTGAGGGATTAGGCTCGAGCAATCTCTCGTCTCCATCAAACATCGCACACATAAGTTTGTAAGCCGTTGCTCGCTCTAGGCTCTTAGGCATAGCCCGGAAATGCGACATGTACAATTGCTTTGCCCTGTCCAAAGCGTCCTCTAGCCAAACATTCCGCTGCACAGAAAGAAAACTTTTCATGTCTCAAACGGAAAAACCTGTTACAACGTACTGTTACCTCCATGACAAGATGAAGAAGTTGGAACGCTGCTTTCATTCCTCCATCACGCATTGTAAAATGGAAGTCCATGCACATGAACTCCTCGTCCGCCTCTAACACGCAATTTATGAGTTTAGTAACGCAGAACAACTCCACCTGTATAATCAACACCAAGGCGTGTTAATATATCCGGATGTCGTCTATAGCAATACATGCCTGTTCTCTTGAATATCCACCCACGACACCGCCTTCACTGAAGGTTCGAACGCCGACTGCAACAGCTCCACTTGCATCTGAAGTTTCACGAGCTCTACCGCCTGCGACAACTAATCTCATCACACCACCTTTAGCCTCGTTCTGAGTAATCTGTTGCAATGGTGGTGTTAAACGGCTTACGCCTTGAAATCAAGCAAAAAAATACCTTGTAATTGACACGCATTCCATTTGATAGCCGTCGCATGACAATCCCTGTCTGCTCGTTGACGATCTTCAAAAGTGTTCCACCATCTGTAACGGGAACGAAGCATGGCTTTCTTTGCATTTTAAGCGTCGATAGCTCTGCAGCTGATACCAGCTCGTCCGGGACATCAAACTGCAAAACAAACAAGCGACGTGTTGACTAATTTACTGGAGATGATCAAGATACATTACCTCTGCTTCAGGTGCCAATGGCTCACTTAAACCGGATTTGATAGATTCCACAATTTCATCCGGGGTTATTTTAAACTCAATGTCCCCTCGGCCATTTTCGTGTAGCGACTTCGGAACACAGGCCACAATTGCAGCAGGTACAGGTGCATTTGAATCTCCAAAGTCTGCAACATATTGGAGCATGGACTTCGCCGTGGCATGCACCTGGACGAAACACGAGTGAGAAACAAAATTAGAGGAGAGAAGTCTTACGTCTTCAAGAGTCACGCTATCAGCCACAGCGAGCAGCGCTTCATAACCCTGCTGTTGATCCATAACAGTATGTCCAACTGCATCACTTTCCATGATAAAGTCCAGATTGTCAATTGATGGAACGCTGTCAATCATGGCTGCCAAATGTTCACTGTCTTTTAGAAGAGCATTCAAATATCTTGCCAGCTCTCCTTTAGTGACTCCGTGCTCTTTTAATCTGCTAATCTGTAGGAAAATGTGTTAGTATGTTAGATTCCTCTACTGCACAATGAACAAGACCTCCTGGACAGCAACTTTGAGCGCTCCGGACCAATCCTTCGGTTCCGCAGTGACGGCAAGAGTAGTAACAGTGCATCCTTCTCGTCCAGAATCGCTATGATCCAGCTCTATACTGATGAAAGGTGGATTGGCACTCTGATTCAATACAACCAGTAAGCTCGATTCGTCAAAAATTGCTACTTCAAACCTTGTAGCGTGTACTAATTCGAAATTGGTATGTGGACAAGACAATTCTTCTCATCAATACGTCGCGTATATCCGAATAAGTTTGGACTCTTTGGATGGGTGTCTGCGAAATCATACACAAGCCGTTACTTCTCGCGTGGAAAGATACTGATGAGAGTCCATACCTTACAGAAAAGGTTCAGCGAGAAATTCTGAAGAAGTTCGTGCTGAAAGATGTATGGCACTTTGTTTTCTCCGCTTATCCCTGGTAAAGACCAGCTGTGTTTAACAGGAGGTCTTATTGCATGCCTTTCCTTTCTTGTCGGCGCTGATAAGAATGAAACAGGAGGAGGATCAACGGCTGTTGGGCCTGCCAATCCTTTTTGAAGTTTCGGTAGTTGTTGTGAAGCGGATGCTAGAATATTAGCTAGCGGACTAGCCAGGTTCGCATGATGCAATCCAGCAGGAGTTGAGCCAAATTGCGCCTTCAAATGCGAATGCCCTCATTGTCAGCTTATAAAAATATGAACTTCATCAACTGACCTCAATCAACTCTATAGTTCGTCCCACACTGCCAATGTCGCCAACTATGAACAAGGTTGCATTCGCAGGGAAGTACCACCTATCATGAAACGCTTTGATTGTTTCAACATCCCATTGTTTGATTTGTTCCTCCAAACCAATGGGAAACCTGTAGCCCAGTAGATTTTCCGAGTGCAGTTGTTGCAAAAGCTGCAATAGCAGCATAAGACAAAAAGAAATGCATGCCTAATCGCACTATACCTGGCAGTCTACTCGGTATTCGATTGTATTCATCATTTGTAACTCTGAAAGAACGGCACTTCTTTCTTTCTCGATTCGTGAAGCCAGAAATTTTGGTTTGAAAGCAATCTGTACGACAAAAGATTAAAAAAAAGCGGATATAGAATACAGATTGCGAACCTCGTGTAGAGCATCAAGCACAAGAGGAAGAAGGGGTTCGTTGGTTCCCTGTGCGGTCACAGGTGAATGAACATGAAACACTGTGTGGTGGAAATCGGTGTACGCATTAGAACGGGCACCAGTTCCCAGAAGCTTTTCACGCTTTTTACTTCCCAGAAATGTAACGTGTTCAATCATATGCGCTATGCCTTGCTCGTGCTCTTCTTCATCCACAGACCCGACATGCATTTCCATATGAGCTTCAAATCTGGAAAAACGAGTTCCAATCACTTATAAAGAAGCTAGAGAGGATATCATACCGGTTTGGAGGTACTTTGTTCGGCAGAATGACATAGCGCAGGCCGTTGTCCAACTGTCCCCGGTGTAGCTTTGGGTGTGAAGGAAGCATATTTTTCAAATGATCTTCTATACCGAGCATTCCATTCGTGCTACTTTCGTCACCCTCGCTGTCCTTCTCCGAAACCTTCTCATCATTCAACCATTTCAAGCTTGTCGCTTGAGGTTCCGTCGGTCCGACTGATGCTCGTGCAACTGCCTGCATTCCTCGCGTCAGTAACACACAGGACAGAAGTGGAAAAAGAAAAAGGTCCGAAGCGTACCGAAGTTGATACTTGTGGACGATTGAGCAATGGGACTCTGGGACTGGCAGGACATTGCATCCAACTCAAGCCGCGGCTTCTCAATCTGGCCTGGAAACTACTTGTAGTTGTGGTAGACGACGAACAACAGCACGAGGAAAGACGTTGTTCATGGCTGCCTTTGGAACGATCCAAAAATCTTCTTCCATGGAAGGAACTATCGTGCAACACACCGCCTTCTAATCTGCTGGCACACACGCAGCAATGTTTGAATCCAAAAACTAGAGCAAGAAAATCCCAGACCTGAATTTGGAGGCCAAAATCCGCGACTTTAATCTGTTCTTCCGGCGTTGCTCGTCGTGATTGCTGATAGAGAGCGCAACGCAGCCACTGGGACCGACTAACGAGCACGATCTCTTGCCGCTAATCTGGTCTCGACTCGGTGTACACTGTGCCGGAGGAGCTGGAATGGCAATCCGCGAGATGCCACAGTGAGCAGCCATGCCTGGAATCGCAAATCCAACCACCGGCGCCTACAAGGTCATCATCCCCTGCATGCTCCAAAAGTCAATTTCTCGGCCGAGAATCACTCGAGAAATGCCCGCGCGCCGCCACATACCTCAGCGAAGCGCGGCGCCGCTCAATCACCGCCATCACACCCAACCCAAGCTCAACCCTAACCCGCCATAGAAATATTTGATATTTTGCATTGGATTGATGGTCCAAGAAGTCCCAGCGACAATAGGCGGCGGAGGAACGAAATCTTCGGCGCCTGCGAAGGGAAGACGAAGAAGAAGATGATAGAGCTAGAAACGCGATCGATCTGATCGCGCCACGAGCAGAATCACTCAACCCAATCGTCGTGCGAGAAGGAACGAAATGGCGATCTTCGTCCAAGCTGTTCAAAGAATGATGAGAGCTGTAGTTCTCAACACTCAAAGATGAAAATGGAATGTTTATGAGTGTGCTCTTGTTGTAACTTTCATGAGAAAGAGCTCGCAGTCTGTACTCGAAGTGAGATTTCGAGATCATCGTGCTCCAATAAATCTCCTGTGAGAAAAATGGAATTGAACCGAGAACGATAAAATCATACTCTACCTCGAGTTATAAAGTTCCAGGAACGTCCCGCAATCAGCTTGTGTATTATTTCCTTTCAATTGGCGGCAAAGCTATATTCCCATCGTAGGAGTGAAGCAATCACTGTGGAGGATTTTTGATGTCACTTCCCAGTGAAAGATCTTGTGCTGAGAACAAGCGTCGCTCCAAGCAGCTCACAACCATCTTGTTGCGATCAAGAACAACGTCCTCCTCATCAAGAAAGAGCTCGCAGAATGCTCAATGCAGAGTGGAGCTTGATGCGAAAGCCATATTCCCGACGTAGGAGTGAAGCAATCACTGCGGAGGACAACAAGCCTCCACATTAAACTGATTAGTCAAGTAAAAACTGAGAATCACTCACTAGGCCCATAGAACTTGTTCTTGCAAAGGACATTGTTCTTGATCGCAACAAGATGGTTGTGAGCTTGCTAGGAGCTACGTTTGTTCTCAGCAGAAGATCTTTCACTGGAAAGTGGTAGAGATAATTGGATTATGGTGATCTACAAGCCCAGCATGGCTGAATCATAGATACGAATGTCACAAAGCTCATGGCAGCTGACCAACACACGCACCTTGATGTTGTAGTGACTTGCAGCTTTTCCCCCTCATGATTGAAAAATTGGAACACCTTCTAGTGAGTCCATCTAGCAAGAGATGAGCCTCCAAATTAAACCAATTCACCACAACTGTCAAGCCGGTGGAAGATCAACACCCACCAAGAACATTCTAATACACTAGAAAACAGGCAACCTAAGGTGAGTTATTTAGTGCTTAAAACGGTCCAGCGCACTCCAAGGACCCAGAGCTCACAAGGCCAAGAAACCTCCTGCAATCCTAGTACCAGCTTCTGGTATGGGTAGCTCTCCAACATTTCCTGCGGTACAACAAAGTAGAAGCGCTTGAGGTTGTACCTCTTGATAAGCTCATCAATGTACTTGGCGCTGGCTTGGTGGCAATCGTTGATGGTAACCTGAAGGGCATGGCCATCACCTAATAGAATAATTGAATCGAATAGCGGATTATTTCGAGCGTCAGGCTTGAAGTAACCCCTAGACTTGGGGTCAATCTCGTCCAAGCTTTTGAAGGTCTGAAACTTCCCCTGGCAGTTAAACCGGACCGCTTCCTGTTCCTCTGCAGCCACTTCCTCGTCAACCTCGTCTTCTGGCTCCACTTCGTCTTCCATGTCCTGTTTGTCCTCGATCACTGGCCACTCTTCCATTTCGTAGTCAGCATCTTTCAGCCTCTGGATAAGCGCAGCTTTCCTCTCTCTTACAGGCAGATCCCTCCGTCTCAAAAAACTTCGAAGCTCCTCAATCGAAATTGGCTTGTGCAAGCGCCGTGCTTGGAAGACGTGGTTTCCAAAAGCGTCCGAGCGAAAAAGCTGATGCACCAAATGCTCAAACCTCTTGCCCACGAGAATCCTTTCGTCCTTGATACCCTGATTCTGTCTTATATACTCTATAGCCCGTTGTGTAGCTTCTTCCTCTTCAAGCAACGAAAGTTGCTCCTCCACGTATTGAGATGCAAACACTACCATGGTGTCCTTCAAATCTGTACTGACCACCTTCAAATGAAGAATGAAACTACTTACGTCCTTCTCATGCAACATGCTCCCAATCCTGTACATGATCCGGGCTTTGTCTTTCGCGGTGTTTAAGGCTCGAGCAAACCTGCAGATGTAGTTCGGGTTGTTGTGCCTCACCAAGACAGAGCGCACCGAGCCGCCAAACTTTTGGTAACGCTCCCTAACTGCTGCTTCGGAGCAGTCCCCGTGCCCGGCCAGTGGCGCAGCGAGCAACAATTCACACAGGTCCCACAGGGGCATGTAGAATGTGACCAGGTCCGTATCTTTCTCGAACTGCCACATACAGTCCTTCGAATCCTTCGTGGACATGAAGAAAATAACGTGCGCCTTATTCTGAACCATTCGCAGTGTTGCTTCCGGACCGTTTACCAGAAAAACAGTGTCTTTTGTAATTCGACGGTCGAAGTCCCCGGTCTTTCCCTGCAGCAGCTCATTTGCCCTGAAGTAATAACTTGTACCTGGGCCATGCTTGGACCCCTGCTCCCATATAATAGTCCAATTCGAAAACACAGGATCCATCCGCAGCTTGTAAAACAAGTAGAAGCCAAAAACCGTCTTGCCAGTGCCTGGAGTACCTTTAACTTGCATGTGCTTTCCAGAATCCTTGAGCATCGTGAGCGCAGCTTGAGCGAGAAATATGTAAACCTTCCGGATCATAATGATCGAGATTTGGGAATCCATAAAAGTGATCCCCTCTGGAAGAGTTAACGTCGTCAAGCTGACAGTCCTCGAATCTTGAATCATTCTCGCTGCATTCCTTGTTTCTTCCCGCTTGAAATCGGTTGTCACCGCGGCCGTGACGAGCTCGGTGCGCATTTTCCTTGTCACTACTGCGAGTTTCGCCTCCCTGACTCTCTCCCACAGAGGCCGCAGGTCATATACCACTGCAAGTGGAAGAAAATATCAGGCCATGAGAAGAAGCAATCGAAACAAAGCGGGCAATTTCTACGAGGGCCAAAGTAAAGCACAAAGCAAGAAGTGCCCACCTGATGGAGGAGGAACAGGCGCTGGAACAGAACAAAATTTATCAGAAGCGAGGGAAGAACAACATACATCCAAGCACGAGGCAAGCAGCTTACTCAGGTCACGATATCATAAGAGTCACAACAGGCCAGGCAAACTCCTGGAGCAAAGGACACACGTCTCGTAACACCAAGACCACAAAATTGCGAAAACCACACCCAGGGAGGCAACGGCACAAAATTGCGAAAACCATGCATGAGAGCGGACAGTAAGCTCATTGACCCGAGAATCCTCCAACTCAACAAGAGCAGGCAAACACCACTTGGATCCAAAGCACACAAACAACAAAAGGGCACCTGGCGCAGCCTCAAGTGTTGGTCCAGCCTGAAGTGTAGGCACTGTAACAGAAACAAATTAGTCAAGGTGCAAAATGGAAGACATAGCAGCAGCAGTAACACATTTACAGCCAGGAAGAAAACAGGAAGTGTAGCCGCCATAGAACCAAGATCACCCTTCAGTTCAGCTCAAGAACAAACCTAGTTCGTAGACGTATTGGCCGCCTCCCACACTCTCGTCCAAAACTGCATACCCATCAGCATCTAGAAGACACCCACGCCCATAGGCGTCCCGCAGATAATCCAACACCCTTGGACGCTTGAATTTCCGCTCGCCCAGAACCACGCCATCGGTAGACTTCACGGTAACGCAGACCGCCATGTTTCGTTTAGTCACTTTTAGGGTTCAGGGTAAAGCACCTTGAGATTCTAACTTCGAGGTATTCTTCATTGCACACGTTTGATGATTTCGTTTGTCATTCGGTGGCTGAACTCTTCCACCCTTCCTTCCACAGAGCACACAACACCAGGGACCACCACCGACCTCAACGTCTTTGCTGAAAGTATATAGGTTTTGTGGCTGAGAGGTGATAGACTTCCTGGTCTTGCGGAGATGAAGTTGTCGGCACCCTCTTTGGCGATGGTTTGGGCGGCGACGTCCTCCTCGCGTGCTCCCGGTGAGGTGGCGGGGGCGGTGGCGTCATAGTCAGAGATCAAGCTTACCAGAGAAAGTCGCAGTATTTCAGCTCTTACGCATTAGACAATTGCATGGATTGTTTGTTAAAATATTTGATTCATATTAAATAAATGTATTATTGTGTAAATCATTTCACCTTTACTAGGAGCAGATCCTTGATAAGGTCAGATCGCCACCCAGCCGTAGCTTGAGGGACAATGCTTTCGCACTAAGGTTTCTTGAATCGTTGCGAAAAAGCCTTACGACAGCTGTGCGAAGAAGGCAAGGCAGCCGCATCCATCCTTCACCACTAGCAATTCTCACTCTTCCCTGCTACTCTTTGGGAAAATCAGGTAACAACTTCATACCTTTTTCACGTTTTGTATGCTTTGAGTGAATAAATGATGAATTAGACACAGATAAATGATAGAGTTTTCATCTCCAGCAACGATTAAATCCGGCAACAACGTTTTGCATCAGTATAGTCACTTTTTTCTCATACAACAATCACCTATTATCTAATTTACTACTTGAAATAGTTCGTCTGCAACCCAAATTCTCGAAGCGGAGCTTGAGTTTTCCAAGACATCGCACAGAAACGTTTTCTCCTGGAACATACTGATTACCGGGCTTTTGCGAGCGCGGTTAATCGAGGACCCACAGCTCACAAGGCCAAGAAAGTTTATGATAAAAACTTTTGATACGGATAGTCTATACGGCACAACAAAGTAGAATCCTTTAATGTTGTAGGTCTTGATGATATCCTGAAGATACTGCCTGTTAATGGTAACCAAAACTTCATTAGTCCATAATATAATAAGAGAATAAAAAGCGAATCATTTTTGAGATCTCTTAAGTTGCACCAATCCCTGTTCCTCTTCAACCTCGCTGATCTCTGGCTCTACTTCCTCTTTAGCCTCATCTTCCATTTTCTCTCGTTCACTGGCCTCTGTCATGTCGTACTGTCCCTTGAAATTAGCATCTTTAAGCCTTTGGATAAGTTCCACTTACAGGCAGTTTCCTGCATCTCAAAGATCACGACATCAAGCAGGAAAGGGTTCTAGTGGGCAAGAGGTTTGAGCATGTGGTGCGTCGGGATATTTTTGTTGGAGTACGACGCTTGTGCAAGCCAATTTCGACTGAGACATGTGAGGTGCTTCGACCCTCATGCTGTCCTTATAATCTGCACTGACCACCTTCACATGAAGAATGAAAGCACTTACGAATTGCCCCGGCATTATGTTCAGAATCGAGTACATGATCCGCGCTCTGTTTCTCACAGTCTGTAAGGCTTGATCAAACCAGTTGGCGTACATCGTATTCTCGTACTGAACCAAGACAGAGCGCACTGAGGCCCCAAACCTTTGGTAACGCTCCATGACTGCGCCGTCGCTGCAATCCCCGTGCCCGGCAAGTGGCGCAGCGAGCAACAATTCACACAAGTCCCACAGAGGCATGGCGAATCTGATCACATGCGTCTCTTTGACGAAGTGCCACAGACAACCATCTAGATCCGGGGACATAAAAAAATAACGTTCGCCTTGTTGTGATCCATTCGCCGTCTACACCGGCATGTAGAATGTGACAATGGACGTCTCTTTGATGAAGTGCCACAGCGAGCCTTTTCTATCCGTGCACGTAAACAAGACAACATTCGCCCAATTCTGAACTGTACCGTCGACCAGAAAAACAGTAGTTTCTGTAATGTAGCGGTCGAAGTCCCCGGTCTTTCCCTGCGCCCTGAAGTAATAACTTGCACCAAGCTTGCCACCTTCCTCCCATATAATACTCCTGTCCGAAAACGCAGGATCCATCCGCAGCCTGTACTGTCTTGCCAATGACCAGCATATGCTCGTGCTTCCAGGATCGAGAGCGCGGCTTCAGTGAGAACTATGTAAGCCTTCCGGATTACAATGGTCGAGATATCGGCAAAGACGGGCTGACGACGTTAACTCTTCCAGAGGGAGTCTCGAATCTTGAATCACTCTCATTGTTTTCCTTGCTTCTTCCCGCTTCAACTTGATTGACACCGCAGCCGTGACGAGCTCGGTGGGCACTTCCCTGCTCACTTGTCCCAGTTTTGCCTCGCGGATGTTCTCCCACAAAAGCCTTTTCTTCCACAGGATTGGCAGGTCACCTAAAACATAGAAACACAACCAAATAAGAGCGAGACAACATAGCAATAGCTTACTCTTAAGCTGCAGCTCTTTCACTACTCCTGCAAAAGAATAAGAAATTCTTTGTATCATCGTCATGGTCAAATCTCCGTTGCTGGGCAAGGAATATCCACTAAAGCATGTTCAGCATATTCCAAAAATATACTTTCACTAGGATATTCTTGGAATATACTCCAATTTAAACTTTAGAAGAGCCCTTCCTCTTCCTCTTCCTCTTCCTCTCCAGCGATGGAGGACATATTGGAGAGCTCCACAAACGCGGCGGCGCCGTAGGGTTCCCTCTCGATCACACTGCGCGCCGCGGCGCTCCCGCGGCGCACGTCGCCCTGGATCTTGCACGCCGCAAGCAGCGTCTTCCAGGTAACATCGCTCGGCCCGCACGGCATTCCCTGCAGGAAATCGTACGCCTCCTCAAGCTGCCCGGCGCGAGCGAGCAGATCGATCAGGCAGCCATAATCCTCCAGCCCATGGCCGACGCCATAGTCCGTCCCCATGGAAGCGAACGTCCGCGCGCCCTTCTCCACCAGCCCGGCGTGGCTGCACGCCGACACCACCGCCAGGAACGTGATGTGATCCGGCGCCACGCCGCGCTGCTGCATCGCGTGGAAGAAATCGATGACGCTCTGGCTGTGCCCGGTCTGCGCGTATCCCCCCAGCATCGCGTTCCAGCAGGCCAGAGTGGGCGCCTCCACCGCCTCGAAGATCCGGCGAGCTTCCCCCAGATTGCCAAACTTGCTGTGCATGTGGATGAGCGCCGTGGCGACGAAGACGTTGGATTCCAGCCCGAGCTCCCGGGCCCGAGAGTGGACGAGCTTCCCTTCCCGGTGGGCCGAGACGATCGTGCAAGCCTCTAGCACCGTCGTGAAGGTGACCCTGTCCGGCTCGAGCTCCATCCGCTGGAACAGATCGATGGCCTCTTGGCAGCTCCCCAGATCCACACAGGCCGCGATCACCGACGTCCACGACACGATGCTCTTGTCCTCGAGCCGATCAAACGTGTTCCTCGCGTCCTCCAGGCTCTTGCAGCGAGCGTACATGCTGATCAGCGCGTTGGCGACGTTGTTGTCAGCTTCCAGCCCACTCTCGGCGATCAAGCCGTGGAGCCTCCGTCCGTAGCACACCCGGTCCGGCGACACGGCGCTCAAGGCCAGGAGAAACGTCGCACGGTTGCCCGAGGCTCCTTCCAGCAGCATCCGCGAGAACCACTCGAGCGCTTCACGCGGCTGGCCGTGCCCGACGCAAACGCCCACTATGGCGTTCCAGGCGAAGACGTCCCGCTCGATGATCTTCTCAAACACCCGCCTCGCATCGCCCAAGCTGCCAGTTCGCTCGTACATGTTGACGAGAGCGCTGCCAATGAAGGAGTCCGAGTAGAGGCCGGTATCGACGATCCACCCGTGGAGCTGCTTCCCGACGCTCTGGCACTCGACGGCGCTAACCACGTTGAGAGCCGTCGTCCTCGTCGGCCTCACTCCATCCAGCAGCATCAGCCGGAAGATCTCCAGAGCTCTCGAGTGGAGCGACTCGTCCCGGCCGTAAGCAGCAATCATGTTGTTCCACGACACCACGTTCTTGCCGAGGATCCCATCGAACACTCGCCGGGCCTCGCCGAGATCTCCACACCTGCTGTACATGGTCACCAGCGCAGTCCCGGCAACGACGTCAGTCTCGAGCCCAAGGCGAGCAACGCGAGAATGGATCGACTTACCATCCTCCAGGCTCTCGGGCGCGGCACAGGTGCTCAGAGCAATGACGAGCGTGGTCTTGTCCACCGCCACCTCGCTCGGCATCCTCCGGAAGAGCTCCAGTGCCTCGCTAGAGAAGCCGTGCTGCGCCAGCGCCGCCACCATCGCGTTCCACGACTTGACGTCCCAGCGCTTCATCCGGTGGAAGACGTCGCGAGCTCGGTCGAGGCAGCCACACTTGCTAAACATGTTGATGGAGGCGTTGGCGACCATGGTGTCCGACTCCCACTCGGCCTCCACGACGTTGCCATAGACGAGCTCGGCGTCCCTGGCACTGGAGCAAGCCGCGAGCACCGCCAGGAAGGTGATGTTGTTTGGAACCACGCCCTCGAGCAGCATTCGCAGGTAGTATCCAAATGCCTCGGCTATATGCCCGTTCCGGGCATACGCCGTCACCATCCCCGTCCAGGAGATCACGTCCCGCCGGGGCATCCTCTGGAAGAAGCGAGCAGCGCCATCGAGATCGTAGCACTTGGCCAGCATCTTCATCAGCGCGTTTCCTATCACGACGTCGCTCTCCAGGTTCTTGTCAATGATCAATCTGTGGACTAATTCTCCCTGCGCCAGGCTCTCGCAGGCGTTGAGGATGCTGATGAAGGTGACGCGATCCGGCAGGACGCCTTCCAGCTGCATCCGGAAGAAGAAGAGCCAGGCCCGGTCGACATCTTCATCGTCCACAAACGCTGTCACCATGCTCGTCCAGAGAACCATGCTGCGGTCCAGCATCTGCTCGAACACCCGGCTCGCATCGTGGATGCTGCGGCACTTGATGAACATCCTCACGACGCTGGCACCGAAGAACCCATCCAGCAGGATGCCCTGTGCTTGGATCGACGAGTAGACGCTGGTGGCCTCGTGCAGCAGCTTTCTCTCGGCACAGAGGTTGACGAGCTTTAGAAATTTGGAGTGGTCGTCAGAGACGCTGGGCTGGCTGGTAAAGGCTCTCTGCCAAAGCTGAAGCGTGAAGCAACGACAATGCGCTCTTCTCATGAACTCTTCAAGCGCAGGTAAAAGCACACACGAAAGTAGTTGAAGAGAGAAAAAAGTATTTAAAGAATCTGCTACCTAGAAGGAGCAAAAGAATTCGTAGCTATCAGAGAACCACCCAAGCCTTGACGCGTGATCTAAACATTGCTACCCTGGAAAGGAAACACAAGAACACACATGAGATCAAGAAGGAACTCCGAAAACTTGGCACATACCAGATGGATCGATCGAAACCAGCTAGAGATCCTTCACGCCGAGCAGCACCCAACCTTCTTGGTCGCGGTCACATCGTCCTTGCCGCCAACGTTGATGGTCTGGCCCTTGGCAGGGGCCGCGGATGGATCCTCGCCAACGTCGAGCGCCTTCTTGCTCACCACCCGGTAAATCTGTGTCAGTATCTGCTTGAACGCGTTCTCCACATTGGTGGACTCGAGGGCGGACGTCTCCATGAAGTAGAGCCCCTCGCGCTCCGAAAAGGCCTGGCCGTCCTCGGTGGACACGGCCCGGAGGTGGCGCAAATCGGACTTATTCCCCACCAGCATCACCACGATGTTGGAATCGGTGTGGTCTTTGAGCTCCTTGAGCCAGCGCTCCACATTTTCATACGTGACGGGCCGGGTGATGTCGTAGACGAGTAGGGCTCCCACGGCGCCGCGGTAGTAGGCGCTGGTGATGGCCCGATACCTGCGCAAGAACAGTGGAAATCGATCAGAGCACCGATATTACGAGGCTCTAGATCTAGATCTGCCGGATTTCGGCCAAAATCTCCGAAATTTCGCCTACAACATACCTCTCCTGGCCTGCCGTGTCCCAAATCTGTGCCTTGACGAGCTTGCCGTCGACGTTGATGCTGCGCGTGGCGAACTCGACGCCGATGGTGGATTTGGACTCGAGGCTGAACTCGTTGCGCGTGAATCTGGAGAGGAGGTTGGATTTGCCGACGCCGGAGTCCCCAATCAGCACTACCTTGAAGAGATAATCGTAGTCCTCGTCCGATCTGTACGCCATGGCGCTGGATCTCTCGCTGCGCGACCGAGATCGAGGCGAGGAAAATGCCCCCGGAGCTGGGGAGATCGATCAGCAAAGGCGGCAAGGCGCTAAAAGAAATAAACACTTCCTCCCTATAAACCCTAGAAGCTTGGATAGTGACAACAAAATTTTTTAATGCCACATTAAAGCTTTATCTAACGACACGTGCTGACTGGGCTAGAACTTGTGCTGACTAGGCACATCTAGGGCACACGCACGACACGATTTTGAAATTTTAGGGCAGGGGCAATGTCGCCATAGCTATGGCGACTGGAGTTTCACTGGCGCTGCGGCCAGGGCAGCGACCCTGGCCCTCGTTCCAATCTCCTCGTGCTTGCGGGGATAGATCTCGCGCTAGGGCTCTTCCGCATTCCTTGCAGCGGCAGCGGCTGCCAAGCTTATCCTCCATTTTCGCCGCTCGAGCTGCCTCTTCTTCCACAGGCTCGGATTATCAGGAGGCGCAGCAGCAAGGAGAGGAGGATGGCACCAAGGCGGCGCCAAAGAAGAAGCAGCGCCGGCTCCAAAAGACCTTCCAGCATCTGGCGCACAGGCCGGTGGAGCGCCCGAGATATCTCCTCTGGACATCCTGTAAGTCACAGATCCTTCCACTCCTCGACAGAAATCTCGCTTAAACAGGGTATTAATACCCTGAATCTCCCTCCAGGTGCCGTGTTCGTCTTCCTGATGCGAAGGGTGATCTTCGAGGAGCTCGCTCGCTGGCCCGGCTTCTTCGTGGAGCTCTGGGAGCTCCTCAAAGCTCTGGGCATGCTCGTCGCCAAGCTCCTGGCACTCCACGCGAAGGACACAACAGTGTGGACAGTCACATACTTTGGCTGGGCGGGGCTGTTCCTCGTCGACCTCTACCACTTCATCGTCGACTACGCGCCAGTCTGGGGCCTCCTCACCACCATCGCTCTCACCTCCGCGGTCGTCAGCCTGGGCGAGGCCGTGAGGTCCAAGGCCGCCAACCAGCCATGGATCGTCCGGCTCGCCACCCTCGCGGGCGTGGGAGCCTACCTCCACATCTGGGACTTCGCCGTCACCGCGATCATCCTCGCGCTCCTCTCGGCGGCCTCGTATCTCCGCAACAGGGACGTGGTGACGGCGCTGCTACCAAGCGTGGCGACGCTGGTGGCGGTGGGGAGGCCGATCGTCCAAGCTCCCGCCATCGCCACCTATCTCCTCCTCGCGATCTACATGAACTGGGCGGCTCCGGAGAAGAGAGTGGACAAACCCGAGGCCTGGACGTCGCCTCCAATCCTGGTGGCTTTCGCCATCGCCATTGGCATGAATGTGGCTGTGAATTGGCTGCGCGCCCGCCACCTTGTTTGGCTTGCAACTTAGAGCTTGTTTAAGGCGAGCTTAAACTTAATCACCCTTTTTGTTAAATTCTATAAAATAGGCCAAAAGCAACTAGGGTTTGTAATGGCGAGCGCGGAAGTGGAGTCGACGAGTGCGTGGCTGGAATCCCATTACCAGGTTTTGGGTCGTCTTGGTGGTGGAGCTTATGGGTCGGTGTTCGTTTCCAAGAGGAAAACGAAGTTTTTCCACGCGAAAACAGAGGCATGCAAGGTGATGGATAGCAAACACGCCAACTTGTGTGATCACGAGGGTAAGATCATGCGAAAGCTACATGGGCTGGAGGGAGTAGTGTCACTGCACAAAGCACATAAGGACTCGGAGTGTACTTGCCTTGTGATGGAGCTGTGCGCGAGCGATCTGATGGCGGCCTTGGGTACGGAGCTTATGCCGTACCATGTCCCGACGCTGGCGAATCACTTCCGCCACCTTGTGCAGACCGTACAGGCTATGCACAGGCTTGAGGTCGTGCACCGCGACCTCAAGCCGGAGAACATACTCGTGACCAAAAAGGGGGAGCTAAAGGTGGCGGACTTTGGTGTGGCGGTGGATTGTAGCAGTCGTCCCAGGGGCTCTCCGCTTAGAATTCAGGGCGAAGTGGGGACGAGGAGATACTGGGCGCCGGAGATTGTGAGCGGCGGGGGATATGACGAGAAGGTGGATGTGTTTGCGCTGGGATTGATCCTCTACTTCATGTTGGAGATGAAGAGGCCGTTTGACGGGTTTGATCCACATGGCGAGTGTTTCTTCGAGGAGAGGAGGCTTGTTTTTGAGCAGAGCCCTAAAGCTGCGCAGGATCTGATTATGAAGATGACTGAAAAGGACCCATGGAGGAGGATCACGTTGGAGGCGGCCTTGAAACATCCCTGGCTCCAAAAGAAGAAAACACTTTGATTCACACATTGTGTGAACTTTTTTATAACTTAACAAAACAGTGTTCAGTGCTAAAAATGATTCTTTATATTCAGTGATTAAAGTAGGTTAAACATTAATAATGGGGAAACAAAAATGGGTTAAACATAATAATGGGGAAACAAAAATAAATACGAATTTCTAGAGTGGACCTGCTGGCTCTTCTGGGATGACCTTGCAACCCTTCTGCAGGGTCACATTTGGGGAGATGTACTGCCCAGCCAAAATAAAGTCGGTCATAATCCTGTAAAAGTGCTCTGTATAGTGAACACCATCGAAGGTAGTATACTCATCCGAGTCCTCACAAACTGTGTATGAAACATTGGCAGTCCCACACCCGCACAGGCCACCTCCATCGCAGTTGTATTGCCCTCCGCCACCGCAGCACGACTTAAGATTCGTCGTGAATCCATACGTATCCATGTTCTCGATCACCTCAGTGTTGGCCGCATTCCAATCAAAGTAGTAAACATTGACCCCCGTGTAATTCTGCCGGAGCTCCCCTGCCATCGTCTGCATGGCCGAGTTAAAGACGCTGACGAGCTCGCCAACCTCCACAATGCACCCATCCTTGTCCAAGTGCTCTGGCGCCCATACCGCGCGATGGTGCTCTTCTGGTGGCGCAGGAAGTCCTGGACTTGCGTGGACAAGATATGGGGGCTGGAGAGGGGCTGGTTGCCCTGGACCGGGATGACGGTGGCGCCGGCGTAGCCAAAGTTGAGGCTGACGAACTCGCTGCCGTTGTAGGAGAGGCTGGCGATGGCCAGGTTCTCGAGGCGGAGCTTGGAGATGAGCAAGTCGGGGATGAGGAGGCCGTCGCTGTAGCGTCCCGTGGGCCTGCCGTAGGTGACGCCGTAGGGGTCCCTGCCCGCGAGGGCGGAGAGGGTGTCGCCGCTGCCCATGCCCTCGCGGTAGCGGTTGCCTGAGTCGCTGAGGGAGTCCGAGAAGGTGAAGAGCGCGGTGGGGCAGAGCGTGCCAGAAAGGTGGCGGAGGAAGCCATTCTTTCTTTTGCCTGAGTGGTGGTGGTGCTGCGGGATTATATACTGGTGGAGGAGGTGCTGATTCTGCGATGCAAGTGGTAATTTCATTATCTATAGTTGTATTCTTGACATGGTGATGTGCAATCTTGGAAGTCTTTGCATTGTTGATTCTATTCTGATTGATGGAAATATTGTTATTGGAAGCTCTTGTATTCTTTTTTAAAAATCACCAAATGGATTTCCCGAATATATTTTGTAATTAATTTTTTTTTATTCATGTCAATAAATCGTATTATAGATTCGCTTTTACTTTTATTTACTTGGTACACCCCTTTTAGGTCGACACTTTTTCGATATATCGCTACTTGGACATGGTTTCTTCATTCTCTCTTTGGCCACTACACGTCTCTCTCTCTCTCTCTTTGGCCTCTACTCCGATCTCGCCGCATAGCGCTCCACCTTGGCATCGTTGAGATTGATCCCCACCATGGCCTCGCCGAGCCCGCAGCTCACCTCCGCCACTACGTGCGGATCATTGTAGTGTGTCACCGCCGTGACAATCGCTCGAGCTCGCGCCGCCGGGTTCCCACTCTTGAAGATCCCCGACCCCACGAACACTCCATCGCATCCCAGCTGCATCATCAGCGCCGCGTCCGCGGGCGTCGCCACCCCGCCCGCCGCGAAGTTCACCACCGGGAGCCGCCCCAGCTGCTTGGTCTGCCTCACCAGCTCGTAAGGAGCGCCAATCTCCTTGGCGAAGCTGAAGACCTCGTCCTCGTCCAGGCTGCGCAGCCGCCGGATGTCGCCCATGAGCGATCGGACGTGGCGCACCGCCTCGATGATGTTGCCGGTGCCCGCCTCGCCCTTGGTCCGGATCATGGCGGCGCCCTCGGTGATCCGGCGCAGCGCCTCGCCCAGGTTGCGGCAGCCACACACGAAGGGGACGTGGAAGTTGTGCTTGTTGATGTGGTTGGCGTCGTCCGCGGGCGTGAGGACCTCGCTCTCGTCCACGAAGTCCACGCCGATCGACTCCAGCACCTGGCCCTCCACGAAGTGGCCGATGCGCGCCTTGGCCATCACCGGGATCGTCACCGCCTTCTTTATCTCCTTGATCATGCCCGGGTCGCTCATCCGGGCCACGCCTCCCTCGGCGCGGATGTCCGCCGGGACGCGCTCCAGCGCCATCACCGCCACGGCGCCGGCCTCCTCCGCGATCCGGGCCTGCTCGGCGTTCACCACGTCCATGATCACGCCGCCGCGCAGCATCTGCGCCAGGCCGACCTTGACGGCGTAGGACGCCTTCTTGGGCTCCGCGATGGCGCCATTGCCATAGACGGCCACAACGCCGTTGGCATCCATCGCCGCGCTGGAAAAGAATCAATCAATCCCGCGATTCCAATGGAAATGCGACCCGAAATATCGAAGATCTGGGAGGAAATGCCTCGGGATTTTACCTCTTCCGCTACTCCTCGAGTGCTCGCGCTATCGGAACCCTAATCTCTGTGGCAGTCAAAAACCCTGAAGAAGAAAAAGAAACGAAAAGCGTGACGTGGCGCGGGCCCGGTCGTTGGATGGAGGCGTGCGGCATCTAGAGCCTTCGAGAATAATCTACGGCGGAGCATAAAGCTCCGCGAATATGCCAATCGTATCGCTTGTGGTGATGGTTTGCTGTCCAAAATGGGGTCAGCTTTCCAATGTTTTTTTCCATGATTTTGTAAAAAAAGATAACATTTTGGAAACAAAAGTTTTTATGTATAAAAATTCATAAAATCTCATTATTCCGAAATCCTATCGTTGTTAACGAACTCAATGGATGCTTTGTCACGAAGCTTAGCAACAAACTTCGATATTGATTGATCCCTTGCTTAGATTAGCAATGAATGAGCATGAACCATATAAAAAGTTTTTGATGATAAGATATTTAATGGCGAGAGACCCGTCGTGATCATCTAAAGAAAACATCGGTGTCAGATAAACCACATGGTCGGTCACCAGATAAAAGAAAATTAAGAAAAGAGAGAGAGAGAGAACCACACGAAAAATAGATCAACAGATCATCGCAGATGACTACTTTTCAACCACAAGAGACGAAATCAGCAGCAGGAAAGAGAGCAAAAGATGAGAACGATCAAATCCAATGAAAGAAAAGAAGTAGAAAAAAAAAAAACGAGCCTGGCCTGCCTGGAGCGATGGATGGATTCATCGTTGTCGACGCCGATCCTTCGTCGCGATCTCCAGCTTGCTCCTCGAATCGAAGTCGATCTCTCGCATGAATCCTTGATTTGATTGGCTTGACTAACTGAGCGAGCTTGCTTGTTGTCACCAAGAGATCATCGAATCGATCACGGCTTGGCACAGTAGCACGACACCGCGGCCGCGTTTCCAGTCGCCCAGTTGAGCTTGCTCTTCATCATCTGCGAGCTTCCCTGGAAAGCCCGGTGGATCCTGTTGCTGCCACTGTGATTCACCACCCCTTGCGTGGAGTGATTGGCGCTGGCGGTGGCGTTGTGAGCGGTGATCTCCCCCTCCGCCACCGCCGGAAGAACACTCAGAGGAACCGGCATGACGTCGTTGAGGAGACTTATCCACACTGGTCGCATCAGTCTCACTCGCAAATTCCCGATGCCTTCGCTCGTCACCTGGTTGCAATTCCGGACCTTGAGCCGGGTGAGCGCCGGGCATCCATTCCCGAGCCCCTCCACTCCCAAGTTGGTGATCGAGCACGACCGGATGCACAGCTTCCGGAGCGCGCGGAAGCGGGTGGCGATGCAGCACAGCTCCGCGTCGCCAAAGCTCTCGCAGTTGCACACCGCCAGCCTCTCCAAGCTGGCGCAGTTGGAGCCGATGATGGTGAGGCTCCCCACGCTGATGCTCAGCCGGATGAGCACCAGCTCCTGGAGCTCCCGGCAGCGCTTGGCGATGGAGATGAGCCCCTCGTCGCCGATCCGGCCCGAGCGCCAGCCGTCGAGCCGGAGGCGCTTGAGGTGGCGGCAGCCAAACGCCACCGCCGAGAGGCCAAAGTTGGTGCACTCGGACGCCTTGACGACGTAGAGCGCCTCGAGGGACTTGCACTGCGCCACCGCCTGGAGGCCGCGATCGCTCAGCTGGAGCCTCTCGACGTGGAGCTCCAGGAGGTGCGGGAGGTGCTCGGTGATGGCCTCGAGGAGCTTGTCCCAGTGTCCCAAGTTCTTGGAGAGCCGGAGGACCTGGAGATTCGGGGAGCCGATGATCAGCGGCCCAAACAGCCTCGCGTTGCGCAGCTCCTTGAGGCACAGCTTCCTGATCCGCCCACACCCGGGCGAGATGAGCAGCTCTGGAAAAGCCTGAGAGATCCCCCGGAGCCTCTTCACTGCCAGGCTCTCCAGATCAGCGCAGCGCTGGAGCAGGCAATTCAGACCCAGCGGCCCAAACCCGCAGGATCCACACGAGAACTTCTTGAGCGAGCGCGCCACCCGTGAGAAGTGGTCGATGCCTTCGTCGGTCACGTCCTTGCATCCCTTAAGCTTGAGCTTGACGAGCCCCTTGCAGTGCTTGGAGATGAGAACCAGCGCCCGGTCGTTGATGCTGGGATCTCTCCTATCGCACTTGAGCGTGATCTTGGTAAGCTGGACGAACCGCGAGCAAATTCGCGGGAGGAATGGCATCACGTCCGCGTGAGCTGCCAGCGACAGCTGCGTCCGGCTGCGTCCTTCCAATCGGTGCCATCGCCGGCACACGAGAGAGCTCTGGGTCCTGTCGCCCGGGCTGAGCTTGTGTAAGATCCACTCGAGGCATTCGTCCGGCACAAGCAACGTGAGATCCTCCTGCTCGACCCACTCTTCTTCCTCCTCCTCTCCATCTTGAGACTCGAGTTCCAGAAGATCTAGAGCGCGATGGCGATGCTGTTGGAGCTGCTGCTGCTGGAGCAGCTGGTGTTCTTGCTGCTGGAGGAGAAATTTCCCAAACTTTGCCTGCTCGAATTGGCCGTGGTGCCGGCTTGGAATCTGGAGGAGGTAGTCGTGCTCCGATTCCTCAATGTACGTGCAAGCGATGGACGATCCAGCCTGCCCCATTCTTCGTCGAGCCCCGCGAATCAAAAATCCAAGAATCCAGATCCAGCAACGAATTCCCCCCGCTGGCAGTAGAGATTATTCCAAGAACTGGGAATGCTCGCAAGAAACCGGCTATGGCAGAGGATTTCCACGCCGATAGACATCATGCCGGTGGAAATTTCAGCAACAGCGCACCTGTCCCTGCTCCACTCACCGATTAAAAAATCCTCCTCGCGATCGATCGACTGCCACTGCCGTGTCGTGTTGCCTCTGCGCACCCCAATCCCTAGCTAGGGAGCTACATTCCTTTCCAGCGCCCTAAAGATTCCATGGCGAGTGAGTGCGCTGGTCATTTTAGACGACGGATCTCCGCCCAGGAAGCCATGGCGTGCGCAGAATCGCGCATGGATCCTTCCTCGAGCCCAAAAGAAGAAGCCCGGAAGAAAGAAGGGAATGGAAAATGGAATGAACGAGTAAACATCATATTTACTTTCTACGTGCTACATAACCCCTATCCCAACGGTAGGATTCCGGCCATCGGGACCGTCCAGAAATTCCGTTGCAGAATCCCCGCCCATCGCTGGCCGTTGGAAACCGGTGGTGACAAGAATCATTCATTCCGGCGCGGTAGATATTCCCTTGCCCGGGCAGCTATTTCGTTGTTATCCTTCCAGAGCATTTCTTTCAAGAAACGTTATATTGATTCCAACGATGGAAACCACCCACCCAACAAGAAAAAAAATATCCCAAGGAATATCCAGCCCTAGCGAATATTCAGGCCTATGCTACCCAGGGCGAATATTCGTTCTTCGTCCCCACAGAGGAGTGGCTACAGAGAACCTGCGCCGCAGTCGTCCTCGTCCATGGCCCAATCCCCAAATTCCTCGAGGAGCTCGTCCCCGATGGCGTCCTCGAGCCACTCCTCGGCCTCGCACAGCAGCGACGGGCTCATTCTCACCATGAGGATGCAAAACTCGTGCTGGTTGAGCGCGCCATCGCCGTCGTAGTCCCCCTGCACCACCATCGCCCGGAGCTCCTCCTCGCCCAGCTCCTCCAGCCCCAGCAGCGCCGCATTCCTCTTGAGGCTGCCCAGCGTGATCGTCCCCGTCGCCGGGTCCGCCAGGAGCTCGAACCCCTTGCACAGCTCCTCCATGAAGTCCTGCTCGCCCAGCCGCCTGGCCATCACCGGGAAGTAGTCCATGAAGCCAGCACCCGCCGGATCCACCGCCGCCGCCGCCTCTAGACCCATCAAAACTGGATTTTTCCTCGCGGCTCGAGAGATCTGGCGTACTGCGTCGCCAAATTCTCAAGCCCGAGCAGCGCCCAAGATCATATCTCGCAGCAGCCCCCTACGTGCATCCCGACGACCCTCTTTTGTGAGTCTTTCACCCAAGTTTCGTCGTTGCTTCCTTCGGAGAGGTCTTTTCTCTTCTCTGGCCGGCCCGGCCAAAAAACTCGGTCTCGTCTGCTCGATTCTCTCGGCCATCTGGAGCCAACTCGGGGTTGCCGGGCCGGCACGACGGCGACGCAGCCACCCAGCACAGCCAAAACTTATGGCAAAGCTTTTTTCTCTCCTCTTCTTTCCTTGCAAAAACCTGGTGAGAGAAAAGCTCGTCACAAACACGAAACGACGCTGCATGAAACGAAACAAAATATAAAACTACAAAAAAGTCTTGCCTGTCAGCAGACTTGTTTTGTTCACATCCTTCCTGTGCTGTGCAACTGTCAACCAATCACACAACACACGAACTTATGGAGCTAGAATAACGAAAGAAAAGAAGCGAAAAAAACATCCAAACATAAAGCGTCCCTGGAGCGTAGCAGCAGCAGTAAGAAGAAAAAGCAGTAGCAATAGCAGCAAACCTCGTCAAGCTTGCTGGCCGGTTCCAAACTTGGAGTTGAAGAGAGCCTTGATGAGTGGCATGACCCCGATGAGAGCGATCTGGAGCTGCTCCGAGGAGCTCAGCCTAATAGTGATCTGCCCAGCTCCACGGTTATTTAGATTGCCGCGAGCCACCACCATTGTCTTCCCGACCATGAACTGCGACTGTAAGTTACCCCCGAGAGCCATATCGCCGTGCCAGTTCATCACCGACAGTCCACACGTCGAGAGCGATCGTCCCAGCGGGAAATCCTTGTCCCTCAGGCTGATCTCCACCGTGCCTCCATAGGCAGTGTCTCCCTTCCCGGTGAGCGCGCCCCCGTTCATCACCACCTTCACTCTCCTCCCGATCATCAGCCTGTCCTCGATCTTCATCCCGTAAGCCAGAGTGTCGCCGATCATCGTCATCGCTAGGCCGGCGATCGTCTTGTTCTTCTTGAAGTTGCTGAACCTTGTCTCGCTCCTCAGCGTGTAGGAGAAGTCCTTCCCCACCGTCTGGACGTCGAAACCGGCCTGCGACACCTTCCCTTCTCCGTGCTTCATCGATGCCGCGCACTCGAGCGTCACGTTGGCTTCCTTCTTGTCCTTCGTCACCTGGCCGCTGAGAGACGCTGGGATCTTGCCATACGTGAACATACGCTCCATGTTGAAGCCATCGTAGCCGCTGTCACGGTCCCAGCCATGCAAGTCCATCACAGGACGCACAAGCCACTGACTTGCAGTTTCAAGGTAGCGGTACCGATGAACAGGATTATCGGAGTCGAAAGTAGGCGGCAGTTGCATATCCGGAAGTGGCACTGGGACCGGTGCCGACTTGTTGTCATCGTCATAGCCGTCGTCAACTGGAGCCGGATACTCTTCGGCAGAATCAGACGATGCCGCGCGTTTCTTCATCTCCCTGCGCCGTCGAATCTCTTCCTTCCACTGCTTCTTCTGGAAGAGCTTCTCCCTCATCTGCAGCTCCTCAAAGTACTCGTCCCTGCTCGATTTGTCAAGTTGATCCAGCTCGTCCCTCGTGAGGCGTCTGAATGGAGGAAGTTCATCGTAGTCTTCCTCATCAGAGTCTTCCACGTCCTCAATATCATCATCAGTGTCGTCTTCGCCAACCGCATTCTCGTCGGAATGCTTCAGCGGAGGCCGCGACTGAAGCAGCGACGACAGCAGGAATGGAAGTGGAGGAACCTTGGACCGCATGAATGGCTTGCCGGGAGTGCTCTCCTGAAGTTTCAGGAGAGAATTCGCTTCCGCCAGTATCTTTGATGCGAAGCACAGTAGTAAAAGTTGAGGCTTCCAAACTTGTCCATTGGGAAGAACCCTCTCGCCGGACCTGTTCGTTCTGCAAGCTGAATGATTCTCCACAAGCGACACCGGGTTCATAAGTCTCATATCACCCGCTGCTTGACGAATAGTCTGCTGAACAACGTGCGAGCGCTGTGCAACAAACATCTCGTAGCTGAGAGGAAGGCCGTTGGGTCCATCGGGAGGAGCCGAAGAAGCATGCGTCAGGACAACTATCGCGTTGAACCAAATGGCAGCTCCAAAAGTATCTGTGATAGTCCGGAGCAGTGGAAGATCACCATAGTCCCTGCTCTGCATGTCGAGCCTGTCGAAGTAGAGTACAATGTCTGGAGGAGATTTCTTGATAAACCGCTTGACGGATGCCATGATCTTCTCATTGTGGCGTTGATCGGCCACGGCAGGTAGCAGTCCAGGAGTGTCGATAACTCGCAGCTTGATTCCATGAACCGTGCCAGTAATCTCCTGCACCTTCTTCGTCGAGTATGCAAAAGCATTCGTCTCGGTCTTTGCCTCGTCGAAGAGAGAATTTATGGTGGCACTCTTGCCAACTCCTGATTTCCCAAGGACCATAATGGTGCAAGTAAAGTCCAGCTCCTCCTGGCCAGCCGCTTCCTGTTCCTCCGCGATAGCACTTGCTCTCTCAAAACGGAAAGCGCTATTCCTGCTTGAGCTGCGCCCCCCTCTCAACTGCTCGGCTAGGCCAAGCCTGTAGAGGACTTGTGCCACCACAGCGTTGTTCGCAGACTGTCCCAGCCTCTGGGCAAGTCTCAAGAACTTCACCCGTATCATCTGCAACTTTTCTCGTGTTTCCACGTTCTCGTCATTCGGTTCTCCATTGGTGTCAGCGGCCTCAACAGCTGTTGTAGTTTCAGAGCCGCCAGAAGGATTGTGAGCAGCTACTTGAGTGTTCCGTGCTCCCTCAATCGAAGACAACAGCCGCGTCGCTGTCGGCTTGGCAGGCAGTGAAGGACCGGCAGAACCAAGTGACGGCGTCTCAGTTGCTGCAGCAGCTTGAGCGAAAGCTCTCAACGCTGCACTCGTATCAACCTCTTCCTCTTCCTCCTCGTCAGAATCCGTCTCAGGCACTGGTTCACGCTCCTCCTGGGACCTTACTGCCTCTGCAGCCGAGCCAATAACATCTGCTTCTCCATGCTTTTCATTCCCAGCTTCCTCGGGCTTCTTATAATCTACTTCTTCATGCTTTTCATTCTCATCATCCTCGGGCTTCTTATCTGGGAAGTAGTCCATGTCAGTATGAATAAATACACCACAGGAGGAATAAAAAACTTTACCGTTTTCGATGCGATCAACAATGTCGCTTGGTTCCTTTACTGGTTCCTTTCCTGGTTCTTTTGGTTGTTCCTCTGGTCCTGCTTGCACTTCCTCAGCTACTGGTCCCCCTTCCACTCTTTCGGTTTGAGGTTCCTCGTGTACTTTCTCACCTTCTATCTTCTCAGCTGGTTCTTCTATCTTCTCAGCAATCATCGGCTCATCGCTTCCTTCGGGACCATCGTCGTCAGCTCCCAGAACCCGCAAGCCTTCCGCCGATTGAGGCTCCTCAATCGCTCGAGGCTCATCTTCGTCAGCTACCTTAGTGTCAAAATCATCGGTACTCACTCGCAAGCCTTGAGCCGACTGAGGCTCCACCGCCTCGGGCTCCGGGTTCGTTTCCTCCTCTCCTTCTTCTTCCTCACCATCCATATCTCCTATCTTCTCCACTGGCTCGTCAGCTTGCTCGGATTCCAAATCCTCGGTAGACACCTTGGCCACAGGCATGGCGGAATCGTCAAAGTCCCCAGTCTCTCCAGTCGACTCCACTCCCTTCTCACCCTCTTCGTCATCATCACTGCTGCTGCTACTGCTGGAGCTACTGCTGGAGCTCCCTCCTCTCTTATCCTCGGAAGAAAGCACTGCCTTGGGCATCACCCTGGCGGTGTCCGACTCCTCAATCACCTGGGCCCGCGGGCTGGCAGCACTGTCAAAGCTCGCAGTGGAAGACCCAGCCATCCTCTCCAGCGCACTGTCGAAGCTCTCGCCGCTGCCAGTGCTGTCGCCGCCGTCCTCCACATCCTCTGACACGGGCGCCCGGATTGGAATCGGCGACGACACCTCCTTCTCGCCAGGGAAATCGCTCACGGCCGCCTCAATCTTACCCGGAGAAGCTGCCGATTCTTCCAAGGCGGCATTCTTCGATTCCTCGGGTAAATCGGCCGTGGCTTCCGGAATTCCATCAGCGGCGGCCGGCTCCATAGCTCAGCTGCTGCTCGATTGTCGTCGCGAGGGGCTGCGAATTTCTTCACGCCACCGGCGATGGCGGCATACCCTAGCCCACGAAAAAGGACAGAAAAACCATTTAAAAGCCCTAACCCTAAATTTGTCCTGCTCCACAGCGCATGGCTACCACCCGATTCGCCTTATCACGAACTTTGGCCCTCCTTATCGCGACGCCAGGTGCTTACGTATCCACCGTCCGCCATAGCTCTCCAACTTAATAGCTCCAAAAGAAAAAAGAAAAGCCCATGAAAAAATCAATGCATTGCTTAGCTGAAAAAAGAATTTTTTTGGATTAGAATGATAAGAACTTTGCAAGCCCATGAAAAAAGAAATAATCAATGCATTGCTTTTGGACTCGAAGAATTGTGAGAATGATACATTGTTACAAACAAGTGTACAGAAAAGAACAAAAAAAAGGAACTTGGCTCCGAGAAAAAAAAAGAAAAGCCCACGAAAAACAGAAAAACTCAAAAGGCATTCTGAAGAAAAAAGAATTTTTTGGACTCGAAGAAATGTTAGAATGATACATTGTTACAAACAAAGTGTACACAAAGTGAGAAACTAAGAAAAATAAAAGAACCTTGCGAACTTTGCCTACCGGTTGTAGTCCAAAACTTCGTGGCTGGCCATCGCTTGAATGCTACAAGCTTGTCGACGAGGTTAAAACTCTGTGCCGGGTTCTCTATCGTAGAGTGCTAAATTTCTCCACCGGAGCCGACTGCTCGAGCAAGTATGCGGCCTGGAAGCATGCAGCCGCGTCTTTGAGCCGGACCTCCTCTTCGTGGACGAGTCCGAGATTAAACCACGCGAGGTAGTTCTTTGGCTCCAAACGCAGCGCTGCCGTGAGGTAGCTCCTGGCAACCGGGAAAGCTTTGCTGCCGCTGCGCTTGAGCGCGCCTCCGAGAGCTACTTGGCTCGGGACGTGGTCAGGATCCACGCACAGAGCGTTGTTATACGAAGCCATGGCCTGCTCCTCTTGGCCACGGCACTCGTAGAGATATCCTGGACGAAGAAAAAAACGCAAGTTTTGGTTCTTTATGTAACGGAATCAATGCATGATCAGAGTACCTGTCTGGAACCATGTTGCAGCAGGAGACTTTTTAAAAGCCTGTGCTTTTTCTAAGCACATCTCCGCGTCACGCCACTGCGACAGCGATGTATAAACGCCGGCCAGATCTTGCCAAACTTCAACTTCTGATACGCTGTCGCCTCCATTCTGCGAAATTCATCATTCATGAAAATGGCTAGCGAAAAGAGAGAGAGAAAAGATGAAAGCGAAGGAGATAAGAGTGCCTACCTTGGAAGATGATCCAGTAGTTTTCCTCTGCGCCTGGACAAGAGCCAGCAGCAGCATGAAAGTCTTGATCGCCTCGCTAGTTTGCATCTGAGCGAGCTGGAGCTTTCCTTTCGTCCGGAGGAGCTCTGCTTGCTCCCACTTTGCAGTTTCTTCCAGAGCAGCATTGATCACCACCTCCGCATCGACGTGTCGCTGTTGAGCGGATAGAACCAGAGCCAGAAAGCGCCACGCTATGATCGAGGAGCCGCCGGTAAGCTCAAGGAATGACTTTGCGCAGTCCAGTGCCGTACTGAGATCTCCTTTCTCCGCAGACTCCATGCCAAAGTCCAGAATGGCGTAAGGATCCTTTTTCTCGATGGCAACTGCGTCTTGCAGCGTTCGTAGCGCGTCGTCTTCGAGAGCGCACCTCTCCGCGTCAGACTTGGCATTCCTGGCCTCTTTCCCAAGCGCAGCGCCGAGCAGGTGACGCGATCTCCCCTTGAGATATCCAAGCTTCCCTTCCGAGAACAGGATCGCTCTTCGGCCATATTCCACTCCGTCGCGAGTAAGATCCGGGGACTCAACGCACAGTTTTGCGGCCAGAAGAAGCGATGGAACGTCGTTTGGCCGCTCGAGGTGGCTGAGCGATTTCTTCAAGACGTTTACCGCTGTTTTCCCCTGTCCCGCGGCACTGTAGCAGAGAGCAAGGTTGTACCACCTATCGGATCTGCCATAAGTTCCTGGTAACACTTCCTCGAACTGCTGGGCCAAGGCGTACGACTGACCACAGATGGAAAGTGCGAACGAGAGATGTTCCATGATGGTGTAGTCCCATGGAAGCTTTCTCAAAGTGTTCTTCCGGAGGAGGATCTGGAACAGGAGAATTGCCTCTTCTACGTTGTTTTTCGGAGTGAAGGCGCCTTCCACCTGTGCTGCTAAGCTCGGAGCTCCAGCCTCGACTCCACCATACAGCAGCAACACCGCAAAGCTTTTCTGAATCCTTCCCGAGCACTCGGAGTCCAGGTTCCAGGGATTAAGTAGAGCTCGCCGGTACGCAGAGATGGCTTCCTGATATAATCCCGCCTCTTTGTAGAGCTCCGGCAAAAGCTCCACAGCTTTGCTCACGATGTCTTGGAGCTTACTGCCGCTCCAACTTTCTGGAATCCCCTGCGGCAATGCCGAGTCGATCGTATCCAAAATACTTCGGCATTCCTGAGCAGCATCTGAAGGAAAAAACAACTGTCAACTTTCGAGAGCATTAAACAAAACTTCTCTCACCGTTCAGGCGGCCGAGCTTCTGCAAGGACTTCGCTTTCAAGTAGATCGCCTCGAGCAAAAGGCTCGCAGCATGCAACGATATGCTCTGGCCGGATTCCGTCCGAGATCGCCCACGCCGGTGCCGGCCCCTCTCCGCGAGAGAGTGTCTCATCCTCGGAACAATGGTGGTGATATCTATACCATCGAAAACTTGCAACGCGGCCTCCACATTCCCTCGCTGATACTCAAGCCTTCCCAGCAATGCTCTCGCTTCCTACATTCCAATGCCAAGTTCGTTCAAGAGGGCCTTCTTCTCTTTGGAAAAGCGAAAGAAAGAGCAGAGAAAAAATGACCGAGTACCTCGAAATTGAGAGACAAAGCTTCCCGGAGCGACGATTCGGCCTCCTCGATGTTGCCTTCGTCTAGCTTTGCCTCGCCCTCCATGGTTTTCGCGGAGAGGCCGCTGGCGGCCGCGTCCATGGAAGCGTTCGCGGCCTCCGGAGAGCTCATGCTCTCCTCGAACATGAATTGCTCCCTCGAACAGTGGCACATCATCTTCTTTTCTCTTTCTTTTTGCTCCTCTCCCCGCGAGAAAAAAACAAAAGAGAGATGCCTCCAAAAAATTATACTTCAAACTCGCTGGCTTGCGCCCAAACCCTGCGAGAGCAGCAAACGGCATAAGCCACGGCCAAGCCAGCTTCATTCATGGCGCTGCGAGAATGAAGCTTTTGGTCCCACATTGCGGTCGTAGCGACGCCATACCTCGACATTGTGTTGGCGCAATCGGCTCGCTCCTCGCAGCTCCTCCATGGCGTCACGATTGAGGAACGGCCGCCATAGCCGTCGCCCGCCTCACCATCGCACGGAAGAACGATTAGCTTAATCCATTAGGTCAAAAGTGTTCGTTGCGAGGGGAGCTTTAGGGCAGAGCGAGGTGGTCCTATGGTCTAGTGGTCATGACTTTGGATTCTGACTCCAACAATCTGAGTTCAAATCTCAGTAGGACCTTTATTCCTAATATTATTTTAGGGTGAAAGATTGATTACCTTCTCCCAATTGTAAATACATACATACATCATGTATATAATCTTTATGAAATATGTAAAGGGTATCAATTTTTATGTATATATAGAAATTAACCACCTCTTTTTCAATTTATCTTTAATACATATATTAAATTTATTTAGTAATCAAGGAAAATACTAGAAAAATAAGCATTTAATGTATCTAATAATTAGGGCAGGAGTACAACACTAAGAATACTTTACTTTTAAGGGGTAAGGATTTTTTAAATTGTGAACTTTAACTTATGATAAATTATATTTGATACTAAGATATATATTTCCTCTTGATAAAGCATGATTAAGGCATTGATAGATTCATATATTCAACAACTAATTTATATATTTTCATACTTTGATTATCTATCCTTTCTTTTGAAATAAATATAGTATTTAGAGGGTTTAATAGAATTATTTTTTGGCTTCCGAGAATAATATGTTGTTAGGGTTACATTAGGCAATGTATTGAAGTTACTTTCTAAATACAAAAAACTCTATTTATAAATGTAATGTATTATTAATTTTTTTAGTATTTTTATGAGTGCTCAGGATATCTCTACTTATATACAAAAATAGATGGACCAGACTCAATCCCAAATGAACGATCTATATGCTTTAGTACTATAATCATTGTATTACTTATGTAGGGTAATACATGTATATACATATATGTATTTACAAAACTTTACACCATCCTCCCCTCCGGATGATGAAAAGGTGATGATAATAAGTCAGGTGGAACATCTATAGCTTCTGTTAGGCAATTATAAATTACTACAAGAATGTGAAACTCACACAATACCACCAATAAAGTTGTTAATAATCATGATTGAAATAAAATTGAAAGCCATGGCATAAGAATCAGCCGACTACGGAATCTTAGTGAATCAATTGCAATTTCAAATATAATTCCAAAATGCTTAAATTAACTATACAACCGTAATTTTGAACCAAAATAAAGGACTTTAGGAGCTACTACAATTTATAGAGCACCATTATAGCAAACAATACATCCCATCTCTAAGTTTGCATGTCAATGATCCTCCAAGACAACCATTAACTCAGACTTAGGACTATAAATAAAACCATCATCCTTGTCTAGCATTACATATGAAAAATCGAAATCAATCCATTCATCCTCTATATCCTTCTTATCCCCTCTTTGAAGGCAAAAATGTTTTGAAGCATTAATTTTATTTAGACTTATTATGTTTGTCCTCACTTCGCTATTTATGTTTGGCCTCACTTCACTATTGCATTTGTTCGGCTCACTACATTGGGGCTAAATATTTTAATCGGACTCACTATACTCACTCCACAATCTATGTTGTTTATCCTCGCTCCACTATCATATTCACTCATCCTCACTCCATTGTCAGGGCTAGACTCCTGTCCATCCCTTCTACCCCCTTTTCCGAAGAAAAAAAAGTTTGAAGTGTCAGAGCAGAAAGGAGAAAATGAGAATAATTAAGGAAAAATAATTATAAAAGAAGAAAAAGTGGATAAAGAGGAATTTATAATAACTAGCAATGAAAAAATAGGGAAATCAAAAGAAGGACATATATTCAAAGCTTGGAAAAATACTTCAGCCACCACAATATAAACAAAAATTCACCATGCTCAACCTCCTCAACACTTGAGATAGGAAAATTAATAACAACGTTCATACTCTCAAAGGAATATATAAATTCCTCAGCAGTAACGATAAAGCAAAAGCTCTCAATAACACTCACAAGTGAGGACATACATTCAACCTAAAACTTTAGCTAAAGTGAGTTAACTCTTGGAACAAAGGAATAGTCAACACCAAAACTATAGTGCACTTTATCTCTTTCTTTTTAAACCAATTTAAAAAGGGCATGAGAGAGCCTTTAGTGGCTATTTTATCCCCATTTATCCTTTAAGGTTCTAAGGATTCATGGTCACAATAAATCTAAATCTCATCTTATGATTATATATGTTATGCTCACCCCCCCTTCAAAAGATGTTATTGTCTTTATTGACTATTGATTAACAACCTTTACTAAGCTTTCAAAGATGTCAATATCCTTATTGATTATTGATTAACAACTTTTACTAAGCCAAGGGGAACCAACAACTTTATTTTCGTACTAAATTTACCAATCCTTCCATTGTGTAAATTAATTATTCCATGTGAAGAAACTAATCATCCACCTGTACTGTCGCGAATGTGACTTCGGGTATCGAAAGTTACCTGTCGACTAGTCCTTACGGACACTCTTTCCTTACTGCCATGATGGCAGAAGGTCGTTATTGTTAGACCCTTTATTAGCCCCTCTTGTGCTAGTGAAGTTAACTAGGCATTGTAAGCCACAAATTTTTCCTTTCCAATTTGCCAGCTTACCTCGTCTATCCGTCCAACACCGCCTTGGCTCTTGCTAAGTTCCCTTGCCAAGGTTCTCGCCTATGGTACCAGCTCCTACTTGGTCTCAACTACTCACTGCACGAGCAACGGAGTGTTAGCCATCCATCCACGGATTCCCAAATCACTCCCAATCCCCCTCCCCGGGTTAGACTGGACTTAAGGTTCGGCTACACTCCCCGCAAGCACAAGCAGCCAAGCACACCAAGCTTCCAGGTTCCTAACATCCTTTGGTACCACAAGACTTGATCATGGGACCCTCTAAATCCCAAGTCTTGAGTGCAACACTTGCTTCGGGACGCCGGGGCGAAACACCGTGGCCTAGCAGCCTGGTATGGGTACCTCTCGCCCCCCACTTCCATCCCGAAGGAAGGCCCAAGCCCCTAGGAAGGGCGAGGACCAATGAGCCGCATGGTACTCAAGTGGGGCACCACTCCACATGAGCCGGGAGCACCGCAATCAGTTTCCCTTTCGGGAGTGGGAGCTGCTCTTGAGCACTTCCTTGGATGGCCCCTCCGGCACTAGCCAAGTCCATGCTCACTCCCACCCAAGGCCCCTCGGTCCCAGTCCCAACCTCAAGTCAGTTTGGGAGCCCCACTGGAGAGTCCCTTCTAAACTGGTTCCTGGACCTCACTATCCCTACTATACTTTTGGAACCCCCTGCAGCCCCCCCCCCCTTGGGAGACGCACGCTTTGGGCTTTCACCCCTTGACCCGTATTAGTATTTGGACTTAGTCTCTGGCTCGATCTCGGACCCGATTTCGGATCCGACTTCGGATTCGGTTTTGGACTCGATCTCGGACTCGATCTCGGACCCGATCTCGGACCCGACCTCGGACTCGACCTCGGACTCGGTCTCGGACCCGATTTCGGATCTCGGACTCCGTCTCGAACTCGGTCTCGAACTCGGACTCGAACTCGGTCTCCGAGTCGGTCTCGGACTCGATTCCGGACTCGATCTCGAACTCGGTCCTAGAGTCGGTCTTGGACTCGATCTTCGACTTGGTCCCATCCGATGAACTCTTTGTCATTTTGGTCATGCTTTCGGGGTTCCTTTAGCCTACGACACCTCGGCGAGTTGGTTCCTTACAACTCCACCACCCATAGAAGAAGTTCGATGCCCACATCGAACGTCTCGTTTTATCCTACGACTTGTTGACCATGTCTCCGGGGGCATCCCCCCACTTAGCGGTGTGCCTAAGTTAGCCTCCCCGGCCAAGAGCCCATGACAACGGAATATAGGTGTCCCTATACTCCTCCCCTCACCACGCCCTAGTATGGGGTCGGGACTTGAACCCAGCCTTGCTTTACTAGGGGGTTGGGACTCGAACCCAACCTCCGTAGAATACGTCTACGGTTTCGACATCCCCGCAGGGAGTCGGGCGTAGCTCCCTACGCCTGGTCGACCTAGCTAACCCATGCTAATTAGCTTACCTTCGGCGCGCCTTCGGGTCCCAACATATGCCATTGCTCAACTTCTCAAATTGATACTTTTAATTGAACTTTGCATAAGTACATAGAGTTCTGCCATGCAGAAATTCCTCCACTAGATCTCGCGCGTTCGTTAGGTTCTCCTCCGGTTCCCATGTTGCTTCGCAGTGTGGAAATCCTTTCCACTTCACATGGAACTCTTTCACCTCGCGTCCTTGTCGCTTGCTCTTGCGCGCATTGAGGATGGCCTCGACTTCGTATTCCTCCTCCCCTTGGATAACCTCAGGTAAAGGTCTTACTTGGTCCTTGCGAAGCGGATCCTCAAAATACGGCTTGAGTAAGTTCACGTGGAACACGGGATGCATCTTCCCCATCTCTCGAGGAAGTCGGAGTCGGTAAGCCACTTTACCGATTCGAGCCTCAATTTCGTAAGGCCCCGCGAACCTGCTTGAGGAACTCAAGATCAATTCATTTATAGGAATACATGCATTTTTACCTTTGGGTCAACTTCCGGCTGATCCCACTTGGTAGTCTGAGGTTTTTGGTGTTCAGCCACACCTTCTCCCCAGCTTGGAACTCCACATCTCGACGCTTTTGGTTCGCGTACTTAGTTTGCCTTTGTTGAGCTCGTTCCAAGGAATCCCTCACTAGATTCCAAATGTTGAGTCTTTCCGCCGTGAATGCCTCCACTGCGGGTAACTCTCCATGATACTCGGCCACGCCGAGTTCCACAGAACCTTCAATAGCTCGCCCATTAATGACTTCCCATGGACTCACCCCGATGCTCGAATGTGGTGAGTTGTTATAACACATTTCCGCAAGTCCCAAATGACTTACCCAGTCGGTCTGGTCTCCCGAGACATAGCATCGCAAATAATCCTCCAGCTGCCTATTCACCCTTTCCGTTTGTCCGTCTGTCAAGAAGTGTTAGTGCCATCAATCTTGACTCAATACCCATTACCTGTCTGTGGGTGATAGGCCGTGCTGAATTTCAACTTGGTGCGATACTGTTCTAGGAGTGTCCTCCAGAACTTACTGGTGAAGATCTTATCTCGATCTGAGATAATCTCTTCCGGCCTTCCCCGCACTCGAACCACTTGTTCGAAGAACAGCTTCGCCACACCTTCCGCATC